TACACATGTATAAAAACCATATGATGCCAAGAGAAAAAAGATGGGGAGCTCTGGACAGCTGTTTCGGGCTGGTTGGCCCTTATCAGCAGAGCATACCACAACTTCTCTCTCTGCATCACGAGTTATAAAGGCTGCCATGAGCTCAGCACTTGTGGTTTTGAAACTAAGTGAGATTCATCTCCACAAGGCACTATCGCAACAACCATAACAGTGATATCCCAGTATCATAGGACACAGGAATTTCCACAAAATAGCACCCACTTCATAGGATTGTATGTAGATATGTATGAAAGTAATAGGCTATAGCCTATTTGTGTTTTCCTCAGCTCCAGAAGCGGTGTGTAATGTTTATACAGGTACCGCATACTTTACTATGGGACATTCAGCTAACTTTTGGACTCATGAGGTTTGAGAACGCAGTGAAGCATTACTCTCTCAATGGGGAAGTTGCGAGGACTCCAAAGGTGTTAGCGCTCTTACGTAAAATAAAGAAGTTTATTGTGTTTCATTTGCCCATCTGCTAGGTGAAGAATATAGGCCTGCGGTGGTTCACATTTCAATGACAATCTTTGCGAAGCACTGATTGTGTTAAGATAAAGCTATCATAGCTAATTGATGAGCACAACAAATAGACTAGGTTCCTTCGCTGGCTTGAGCACGATGAACGAAGCACAAAAAGGAGGGCATAATCTTAATGCATGTACCACTTGGACACGTACAAGAGAAAGTGCAACCACTACAGAACTTATGGGACAGCCATTTACAGTGAGAAATTGACATCCTGCAACAACCAAAGAGTTGGACAATATTGTCTAAACTGCTAAACTACTGCAACTGCCGCAACTAGCCCTTGCCAATGAATACAGAAACAGATTCTAGGGAAACAATGAATACACTCAGTAATTAGCCTTGTACCAATGGTGTTAAGACAGTTGAGCAATAAAACTACTCAGATGACTGATGACTGCCTTATGTATGCTCTAAAAGAGCTGATTGTGGTGCAGTTGCCATGTAAATACGTAGGCAAAATGCAAATTTCGAGCACCGTTAACTAAAGCAGCATAGATATGCCTTATAACACAAACATTCTCACTGGAATTTGGTATATATGCTCAGTGAGAAATGTGGTTACACAACACGTGGTAAAATTGTGCAGGGTAGGTCATACACTTTTATATCGCCCGTGTCTGCACCGTCTGTGTGTTGTAATGTCACTTGACCGTCATGGTGCATCCGCCTCACGTGTTGTTCCAAGTAGCCCTTATGGATATAATATGTGTATTGTAGCCCTTCTGAAGGGTTTTCTTTCTCTTTTCTTTCTTTCTGTGTATGTATATAGCGTGATCTGTTCAGTTTTCATGCTGCATACACATCTTCTATCATTTCTGTTTCTGAGTGTAGTGTCTCCAAGCATACGGTTTCATCCATATGAAAATCACACACCATTTACCATATTTTAGAGCAATGCGGAAGATGGAAGCGCTCATAATTTATATGCCAACCGAGGGCGGTACGCAAAATACAGAAACTTTGCTGCCTAAATTGAACGCTGTGTGATTGGCTGTTAGTACAAATGTGTTCATGTTCAGCTCTCATTATAGGTACTCCACTGAACTCTTTAGCAGCAGAACATTTTACGAAATACATAGCCTTTTGGGTAGACCAATGTAGTGCTGAAAAATTTTGATGGAGGAAGCAAGGCTTTTATCACACACACTGTCCTCACTCAAGATGTCATGTGAGCGTCCCTCACAAGAGCAAACTGAGCAGTTGTGTATTCTGACATCCAAAACTAGCCTAGACATTCTGACCCCAAACCTAGCGGTAGATGCTCATAATAACTAAGGGTACCTCGGCGCTACCCCAGAAAACGTATCAGCCCACTCGTATATACCGAGACAAACCCACAAATACGTTAATTAAGCCCAGAAGTATTTATTATAGCCTGGGTCAACGACTTTGTAGCCTTTCTCTTTCAGTAGCTGTCAAAAATATGAGCTTTGTAGAAAGGACAACGACCGACGACGCCGATCGCCTGGCTACTCCTGTGTTTGTGGGTCAAGTCTCAGCTAATTCAGAAAAAGTCTTAAAAGTATAGCGCGCACCGGCGTTGTTATAGGGCATAATGATATTCATCACAGTTGGGGTGCAACCACTCGAGATAATGTGCTGAAATTCCTTGGCCTGTTGTCTCTCCCTCCCTCGCGCATGCGTTTACACGTGCGCATATATAAATTTTTTGTGAATCCACTGTCCATTTTCGTCGGGCGCATGCTCTGAAACTAAAGTACGTTCGCGCTGGAGAATGCATGTGCGGTACTATTCTCTCCGTATGTAAAGTATGCGTAGAAATGTATATGTGGTTATGCATAACGTGCGTGGCGAAAAAAAAACCACGCAGCGGATTTGAACGGGGTAAGCGTTGAACGAAACCGGAGTGTGAAGCGCTCCCAAGCGTGGCCGCAGACGGTGCTGGAATCGGAAGTTATTCTCGATTTTCAATGTGCATTCTCAGGGCGAAAGTATAACACACACGCGGCCAGGACAGAGAAGGTACGGATCGAGTGATGAATACCCTGCCAGGTTTGGTTGGTGCACTGATGCTTACTGTATCTGCTGTGGCTCAAGGTTATAATATTGCAATAACCTTCCATAGCTACGAATTGCTTTAAATTTTCGCCAGAGATTCTCCGTGCTCCTGAAGCACGACTGTCTTCTAAACCAATCAGCAGTTTTTAAATGTGAGACAAAGAGGTGGCAGTCGCTCTGTGGAGAATCAATGGAACACAGCGAGAATCCCTTTTGAATGAGATACCTGGTGACCTAAATGTCTCAGAGATATCCACTTCTGCCGGTACTACGGTGGAGACTCTGACCATCCCAGCCAGAGCCCAGTACAATGGAACTACAGTCTCCAGTGTCTGTCTGTGATATTTGGAGGCCTCTCTGTGGAGAGTGACAACGCCACATTGACCATTCAAGGTTATAATATGAAACTGTATCGATGTTAGAAAATATTATCCATCATTATTCAGGTCCGCTGTTACTATTAGCAGGTGACTTGAGAGTCACCATGAATGCCGAATCAGTGACCATCTCGTGGAGTGCTCCATTCTCTCTGAATGTGACTGGTGTTGATCCTGATATCTGGTATCTCAGTCCTCATCTACATATGTGACAGATGAGAACAACCCAACAGCCATCCTCTGTACTGACTGTATCAATATCACTCAGACACACTACACCTTCACACCTGACTACCTCAGTCCCTTGTCATGTGTACAACTTCTCTGTCATCCCTCTTAATGGAGCTGGAGAGGGCAGTGGTGTCATTACTTTTCGGTATAATGTTAAACTCCTTTGAGAGAATCCACAATGCATAATCTTGGCTCTCGTATTATCTAGGACAATCGAAGATTACAGAGTTGATGCCCAAGTTGTTTGTGATTCTGTTTCTGTCATAATTTCAAGTTTTTTGTAAGATTTATGTACTAGTTTTGATTATGCTGTTTGCACACTCAACTGCTTTTGCTAGAGGCCACATAGAGGGCACGTTGCTCGGACTATTATTCATTCACTGGAGTATCATCCTGCGAGACCATAGCAGTTTATTCAAAGTCGAAAGTACATGAGGTTTCTTACATTTACAAATTAATCTGCAAACAAAAACTTACTCCATCTTTTTTGATAGCTCCTCTTTACCACTGCTGTGAGCTGTGAATATATTCATTATGACATCTTAGTAAATTCACCAGATAACTTTAGGCACCTTATAAGACAGGAAGCCTGATCCACTTCTGTTTCCACAGCAACCTATGATGTCCAGGTCTCGCGATCCTCTACCGTTGGAAAAAAGAGGACTGGAGTGAGAAAGAGGAAAGGAGTGTGTAGTGAGTTATGGGGTTGTTCTTGTGAGCTGCGGTACCAGCTGCAGGATGTCTTGTTGTCCTCAGGACTCACTCTTCTCCTGACGTCTTCAGGAGTTCTCGCTTTGAGCACCCGAGTTCTCAGGACATTGTCTCCCACACACTGTACCACTGTCACCTCTTCCACCTGTACCACTGTGTATGGATACTGACAATTTTAGAGGAGAATGGAAACTACCAACACTACGTCCTGCTATCATTCTAGAAAAACCAAGGAAGTGGTTAACTCGGGGTACAGCTCTCAATATTATAGACGGGTCCTAATTTTAACACTTATCCCTTAGTGCAGATTTCAAATGTGCTCCTCTCAAATTTTGTTAGCGGCTTTATATCTTACAGATGCCGACCATAAGTTAAAACATCCTTCTATTTGAAGAGTGCCAGCATATCCCAAAGAGGATCAACTATAGTGATAGATTGCGAATTCTCAGAGGTCTATCCTGAGGCCTCATGTGTCCTGGTCTACAGAGAGTATGGCAGTCATCTCCTGACAGTGGTGGAGTTGTCTCAGCTCTTCAAGTTTCCCTGTCTCTATCACTGTGGACAACCCTGAAAACTATACCTTTGCATTATTTGGTGAAATGGTGCAACCAATTTGGATGAAGTGCCGCTGGTGTATACAAAGTCTGGTAAGAATAACCAAATCTTGCTTCCTCAGTAAAAAGACATTTCACAACAATCAGCTATGTCATTCAAAACAATCCCCAGCTATATGCCATTCACAACAACCCCTGAAAAAGTTTATACACATTCTGAGACCCTTTCTTAAAGCTATTGAGTTACAGATGAGCAGGAGGAAACAGACAGGGGGAAAGAAGGAGGAAAGCACAATTCCCAAGCACCAGTTGTTGTCATATCCATTGGTGGGTGTTTACAGTACCAAAGCTAAACCTATAATAGTATATCCTCCTACAGGCACAGTAGTGGTGTGTGTTCTAGTATGTGGCTCAGCAGTGTTGGTCCTGGTGATGGTCAGACGGTATTATAACCGCAGCAAGTCACTCTCGCATCGGTAAATACGCTCTCTCATCACTCAAGGATGCTGGACTTTATAAACATTCACAAAATGATATTATATCCAGCGCCATGACCTCTACTAAACGTCGACACTCACTAGAAAATTAACAAATCGATCAAATAAAATAATCGTCTGTAAGCACTATCACAAGAGAGAAAGAAAAAATCATAAAATTTAAGCAAAAAATATAGAAAAAATGCAATAAAATAAAATATAAATAAAAAAAATAAAAAAAACAATATATAAAAAAAATCTTACTACGAAAAAATAAAATTTAAGTCACACACAGCGGGCATAATATATCATACTAGGTATCCTATAGACCGATTAAATACAAAAAAATAAATGCGTGTATGTTTGGGTATCTTTTGTGGATCCCGTTTGGTACACTCGCATGATTTAAATAAAATAAAAAAAACGCGCGAAATGCAAGTCTACCTAGACAGAGATGTCAATGTAACTCGAACTGGTCCCTGGGACCGTTCCTTTCACCGTATCGAGTTCACTGAGTACTGGACACACACATGGCCATATATTATCGACCCCAGCTACAGTTCTAACCCAGCCCAGTCTCACATGAGAAGTGTTTGCACATACCAAGTGGTCTCATAGGACTAACAACACACACACAGAAGTACTTCCAGGTGGGTGATCAGGTAGACTATCTCTTACTAATGCACCCGCTATAAGGAATTTATTGGCTGGTGACTAATTTCCCTGCACACCCAATATCCCCGTTAGGGATGCCGGAATGGTATTACCCCAGCACCACACCCTATCAACAAACAGCACTTTACCTCCCCAAACAAAACATCCAAACAGCACTGCCGTCCAAGTACACCTACCCTTCACTGAGGCATTACTTCTGCTACAAAGACACACACACACAGATGTACGGTTATCTTTGATCTAGTTCAGGTCTGGCGTCACGTGTTTTCATGATAGCATTTAGCTCATCAATGGTGCTGAGTTTCTCAAGGACACCGTGGACCTTCCAGCCTCTGGATATCAGGTTCTGGACTCGACCACTGTCCTTCTCATCCCCAAACACCTCAAACATGTCTCTAATGTTGTAGCTGAGGGAAGAAATGGCAACTAAGTTTTGGTGACTTAAAATTACACGTCTTACGTCATTCTCTTTCTAATGTGTGGAACCTCATAGCGTCTAGCCACCTTCAAGAGAGCTCGGTACAGCCTCAGTGCTTCCATCAGCGCCGACCACGTGGGCGGAGGCTGCTCGAGCTCATTTATGCGCATGCGCATAACGAAGCGAGCCAGCCAAGTTTGTCTGCCTCTTCAATGCTCTCTAGGGCGAATTTGGCCCTAGTATCTGCCGTAGGGTTTGCTGCCACCACCATATACGTCGTCCACTACAGCCAGAACAGGGAGAGAAAGGTAAGAAATTCAGGGAGTCCCACGACGGCCTGCCCGTTCATCCTGTCCTGCACAGCGAATGAGGATGGGCGTGGAGAGAGATATCGAACGACAGCGACGTAAGGAGGAAAACGTGCAGCTGCTCCAGGACCAGATTTCCATGCAGCGTCGACTGGAGGAGAGAGACACGTCCAAATAGTGCCCTCCGCAGACAACTTTGATTTATAACCCATTCTTCTCAAAATAGATCTTTTTACAAGAACACAATGTAGGTATATACAAGAGATTACGTGAGCACACCACACCATAAAGCGGCTCAGAAGAAAAAGCTGTTGTCTCTTCTCTCTCTAATCACACACAGACATACACAGCATGGAGAGAGAGGAGGGAAAGGAGCACATGTCTACATGCATGTACAGAAATACGCAACAACCATATGCAGTTGCCGCCGTGTTTAACACTTAGCAAAATATAAACTATATTTGTATCATACGGTACAATCTTTGTGCGTGCGTTGCGTGACAGCGTAAGGGGGATGTGGTACAGTAGGACAGAGAAACTATGGGTGACCGTACACAACAACAGCTAATGCTGTGATGCGGAGGACGGTTAAAGGGTTGGCGAGGCTCTATATATGTAGTATACGTCACACACACACACCTAGGACATTTCTACGTCTGGACAGGATCGTTCCCTTGCGGCGGGGAGGCCTGTGGCTTTTGCGACTCAGTGTCTGATGCAGTGGAGGACGTGGTGGTGGTGGTGGTGGTGTTGGTGTTGGGGGCCGTGCCAGTGCTATTACTGGCCGGCTCGCCTGATGACCCAGCCTCCTTCTGTTCCTCGCTCTGTTGAGTATCCATATCTTCTGGTTGCGGCTCTTCTTCCTTATTTGAACCCATATCCTGGAATAGGGAGAGGAAAGGGGAAAAGGTAGAGAGGGAGGTTCACACTCTATTTTCTGTCTGTAAAATTACAGATGCGGATGTACATATGCATTCATCAGAGAAGGGCGAGAGAAAGGGAGAGAGAGAGAGGTTAAGGAGGAGGAAAAGCGAGCTAACCGTATACGTGTCTCCTTGACCGTCCCCAAAACCGAGTGGCTCTGGCACCTGCTCGAAGGAGACATCTGAACCGGCAAAGTTGTTGGCGTCTTTTCCAAACTTTTCCACCTTCTTCTCATGGATCTTCCTCGAAATGAACTCTCGTCTGTACAAAATCACAGCAGGGAGATGAGGGGGGAGTGAGACACGAAATTGAATACTGATTACTGAAAATGAAAACCACGAGGGACTCACTCGCTGTAAATTTCAGGGTACTGCAAGGAGAGCTCTGTGTTGAGCTGCTGTAGCAAGTAGTTTTCTTCCATGTCCATGGGGTCATGGGCCTCCTTGGACACTCCTGGATTGGGTTTAGAGGAAGTTAACAAAGTATAAAGGTCAACAAGGAAAGGTCGTGAATAATAGGTGCAAGTGCTCTATCATAGTACTGCGTGCAAAGTGTGTAGGAATTTTGCTGACTGGACCTTATTTGACAATGCGTCACTAGGATGACACACTGGCCACACCAGGCTGCAAACATGCAAACTGCCCACACCTCAGAACGGGTAATTAGCAAAGTGTGCATATTATAATGTTCCCACGTACAGTAGTCTAAATGGAGAGCACTCCAGGTATGTAGTGTTGTAGTAGCTGTGTGTATGGGGAGTCCATAAAGGGAGGGTTGGGTGTTGCAACACCTGGCAGGCATTCAATCTAACACAGTGGACAAGTGGTACACACCCACCCCGCAAACAACGACTAAATATCAGTTTATATTCAGAGGACGTGTCGACAAACACTCTGTCAACAGTGGCACCATTCAGACATGTGTGTACTAATGCGGACCTATTAATAGAGGGATGCCAGTTTTTCAGTCAGGAACTTACGTTCTAGAATGTCGCAAATCCTTCGATGAAGCTCTTCCTTTAGCTGCTTCTCCTACAGAGGGAGGAGATGGCAAGAAAGAGAGAGTCAAACTGAGATCATAAACATGGGATGACGACACGCCCATTTATGTAGTAGCAACTTTCCATGAATATCAAATATCAGAGTGTAAATAACATTTTGTGGAGCTTCCCAGCTAGACTAGTCACAGCACGAAACTGACCTTCTCAATTGCCGTCGGTGAGACTTTTGGGGCACTGGGAAAAGTGATTAGAATTACACTCATGTTGTCTCTGCTGTTCTGTGGGTGAGAAGAGAGCAGGTGTGCATTAATTGGAGAACCTTCCCGTGTGTGTGCTCTCTTGAATGTGACATGAATGTGACACGTGAGTGAATGCATGGGGGTGTGGGATTTAGAGTGAAAAGGCAATTTGGGCTATTTAGCAAGGGGCACTATTCCTCCACATGTTCTATGGTGGGGACTGGTCACCTTATTCAAGCAGGTGTCGATGAGATCGCTGCATATCTTGGATAGCTTTGACTCCAGCTGCAGGTGGTGCAGAATATACGCTACGATTTCGTCGTTTGTCATGACATCATAGACACCGTCGCACGCGAGAAGCAAGAACTGGTCGTCCTTAGATCTGTCCAAGACGTACATGTCTGGCTCGGGGGACACCAGCTGCTCACTCTGTTTCAGTTCCGACGACCGCTTGTAGTCGAAGTCACCCAGGGCTCTCGAGACGGCCAGTGACCCGTTGACCCTCTGCATCATGACCGTACCACCCGCCTTCTCGATACGCAGCCTCTCCTGCTCGTTCATAGGCTTGTGGTCGAGTGTGGCGTACTCCAGCTTGTTGGCCCGGCAGAGAAGACCACGCGAGTCTCCACAGTTGGCCCAGATGAATTTATCTGGCGACACCATACAGGCAACGGCTGTGGTGCCCCCCGAGGGCCGTTCGTCCTGGTTCTCCTTCTTGAGCATATCGTCAATCTCCAGGAAGCTTCTCTTCATCTTTTTGCTCACGTCCTCCTCCTTGTCAGAGCTCTTGACCAAGCCCATGATGTGGCGCAGTAGGTTGGTGGAGCAATACTGGGAGACCTTGGGGCCGGCATGGCCGTCAAACACGGCAAAGAAGCTCCATCCCTTAAGCTTTAAGTTAGTCTCACATGTGTGCGCGTCCTCCATCTCCAACCGCCAACCCTGCATGGCCGACACGCCCCACCGCAGGCTGTTTGCTTCACCCTGCGACACGGTTTTTTCCGTCTTCGGCTTCTCCAGAAACGCCCCCATACTCCTTCTCCTTCCTAACGACTGGGGTACAGTCCGAAGTGAACTACTTGCGTAGGAACACGTATACGTAGAGACGAAGTACACACTTGTTTATGGGCGACACGGCCGAGCCTTAGTTACTCGTTCCTACCTCCTCTTCTGAAGGGTGTGCTATCTATTATGTGCTGACTAGCTCTTGTGAGGTCACACGCTCCGTAGTCTCGTCACCGGCGGTCGCACTGGAGACAAAGTTTTGTTCTCGCTGCCATCTTTTCAAAGTTTTTCGTGCATCTCAGGAGACTCCCGTAAAACATGATATACTGCGCATGCGTATTATTGCGTAATAATGACGTATGCGTTAGTGCTAATAATAATTGTACCCTAATGCGCATGCGTATCTCACATTCCGCCGCTTGTTGCGTGCTCATTTTCACTATTGTCGTCAAAATTGGCACAACACATGTTTGGCACCAGTATACTACGTGCCTCCAATTTCCAGAATCAATAAACGACCAGTCGAATCTTGTGCACATTGAATTGCAACTGTGATAATTCTCCAATAAGTAATCCACTCAACTTCTTCCCTAGCCAACAAACCACTCAGACAAATCCGTGGAAGCCTTGGCTGATGACATCGCCTGCATGCTTGTGGGTGTGTGTGTTTATGTACATGTCAGCTCTAACAGTATATACATCTGATTCGTAAAGTTTGCAAAATTATAATTTGATCAGCCTATTATAGCAGGGAAAAGAAATACACACGCATGCACAGTCAATTCAACAACGTACGTAATGTAAAAAAGGCAAACGTGTAGAGCTAAGAGCTACAACAGTTCTAAGGCAGTGTTCGATTTGCCCCACACACGCAGTGCCAGCCGCCGGCCTTCACAGCTCGCTCTGTCCGTAGAGAGCGGAGGAGAAGGACGTGTAGTCCAGGGCTCCTTCGGGCGCTCCGTCTCCCTCATAGGGAGCCATGCGGGAAATACAGTACTCTGCCTGCTCCGGGGGCAGCTCTCGGCGCAGCTCGTCGCCTGTGATGTACGGCTGAGGGGAGGAGAGAGAGGAGGAAATGAAGAAGAAGAGAAAAAAAGAAGGGAGAAAAAAGAGAAAGACAGGAAGGAAAAGGACAAGGAAATGACGGGGTAAATTCCTGGCTGCATCTTTTGAAACATACCTTATCTCCGGCAAGGATCTTGAAGGACTCGAGGACCTGATCTGCGGTGTCCTGATCCACCATTCTCCTGGACATGAAGTCGAGGAAGGCCTCAAAGGTCACGTAGCCCGTCTCGTTGGGGTCAATCTCCGCCCACAGCGTGTCAAACTCTGGGTCGTTGGTCTGGAGAAGAGGGAGAGTGTGGCGGAACTCTAATCCCCACTATCTATAGGGTTACTACTATCAGAGAGAACTGTACTTACTCCTACCACTGTGCATCAGCTTACACACGTATATAGGACATGTCTCACTGTATACTAATATGCTGTGTTCTGTCTTAAAGGCGCTCACTCCTTTTCCTATTCTCACACAGCTTTTTGGTGAGCTGGTGGTGTTTAATCAGTGGCCAACTTGTGACCACTACGGGCAGAAGACTGTAGAAATTACAGGGGTTTACTCACAGGATCAGAGCCCAGTTTGTACCCCAGACTGAGGAGACAGGCTCTGTACTCGTTCTTGTCCAGTTGTCCAGAGTGGTCCTACAGGAGGCGACGAGGCACCATTACGAAGATGAAAAACAAAAGGGAAACACAGGAAGAGGAAAAAAGGAAATGTGGCAGTATAATATTAAAAAGGCAAACCTGCCACTTAAAAGGAAACTTATTGCATTCTTGCATTCTTTTAGCCACGATTCAGAAGAAAACAGGAGAGAGATTGAAAGGAGAGAAGAGAGATTGAGATGGGCCCTAACCCTGTCGAAGTGGTCGAAGGACTGGCGGTATTCCTTGATCTGGTCCTCGGAGAGTCCCTTGGAGTCTCGGATTAGGATCTGGTTCTCAGTCTCGTTCTTTGCCCGTTGGACGGCCAGCAGCAGTCCAGTCCAGTTGGCACGGAGTCCCTGGACACACACACACACACAGACACAGTGAGTACCCCTCTCTACAGACACCTCTACACAGACAATTCTTTTCCCAAAGAACAGCTCTTGTATGCAATTGACATAAGGACACCCTGCTAATATGGACACTTTCATCCGTCAAATTGCCGTCTGGATTACCACTGTACACTTATACCCCAGTATTAGTAATACATTCCCTCTCCCCTCTCTCCCCTCTCTGTTCCTTTACTCCCTCACCTCCATGCTAAACTTGGAGTGTTTGTTGTCAAAGATGAGGGCAGCCTGGGTCTGCCTGTGGATCTCCTCTGCACTGTCCATCTCCGGCTGGTGAGTCAGCGTCTCCGCCTCGAACGCCACAAGAGCCTGCAGTTGGTCCTGCGGAAAAGACATTACATCATACCACACAGAGATGGACGGCATATCATACTGTTCCACAGGGTAGTTAAATGGACAAGAGGCAGCAAGAAAATAGAATAAGAAAAGAGAGAGGTGATGTATACCTCCATAGTCCCCAGAGCCTTCATGCTCTGCTCTGCCAGTTCGCCCTGCCTCTGTGAGATGTACTCGGCAAGAGAGTTGGCCTTCTCTGCAAACGCCACACGCAGCTCTTCATTGGCCTGTTGTCTTTCCATCTCATCGGCAAGTTTCTGCTCTCTCTCTGGAACTGTGTCGAGCACCTTGCACCACTTGTCGTACACCAGCTGGGGTGGAGAGAATACAGTGTGAAACGGGTTAAAATCATCAGAGCAAATTGGTTACTGGTGGACATGTTGGAATAGTATTGAGCGATGCAGTGGTGATGGGGTTAATTTTACGATGCAGGAAGTCGTGATTCAAATTTAGTACTGTAAGGATTAAAGTCACACAGTGGTGGTGGGGCTTAATTCAGTGTGGTGCAAAATAACATTCTAAGAGTGACACAGTGGCTTTGGGGTTAAACTCACGGTGGGGGTGAGAGTGGTGTAGGGGTTATCAGTGGAGCCCAGTTCAGCCATGGCGGTGACGAAACCGTTCAACTCGTCGTAGTTGGCGCTGGCCTCCTGGAGAGGGCCGGCCTTGAACTCCTCCAGCTCAGCCTGCAGCTGCTCCACTTCCTCGATGGAGGAGCAGACAAATGTCTCCTGGAGATCGTCCATGGTGTTGTCCATCCAGTTGTTGAATGCCTGAGGGAGGGAGAGTGGGGGGAGGGGGAGGAGGAGAGGAAAGGTGTACAGTTATGATGTAGGGTTGAATCGTGCAGTAAATGCACTGAGAACTGTGAAATTCATGCATACAGATACTCCTCGTACAAATTTACACCAATTTTAGATGCATGCAAAATTTTTGTGACAGTGAAACTTGGTCCTAGAATTCATGATAGACTGTGGAATTATGCATGCAGAAAGTGCAAATCAGATCTTTAGGCTATTGTAACCTAGTCCTAAAGTGCATGGAGGTTGGGTGATGTCCTGTACGCTGACTCACGGCGCCTTTCTTGGCAAAGTTGAGCCTGAGAGCATCCAGCTGCTGCTGTTTCACAATGGCCTCCTTGATCCTCTCTGCCCGGGCGATGGTCAGTTCTCCGAGATGTGCCACCGTCTCCTTGAGGCTCTGTAGGAGGAGGAGGGGACAATCACACAGTCTCATTTCTTGTGTGCACCAGTGCTAGGTCCACACAGTCGCACAGCATTGACACATGGTGTGTGCAAAGATCTCTACGGCACACCACACATCGCATCACTAGCCTTTGCAAAAAATATGCTAAACCAAGCCTCTCACTTGTTTTCCCTCATTTCGTGTCCACTTCCCTACTAGTACTCCTTCCCTACTGCCTCCCAACATTTTTCATTTAACCCTTCTCCCACTGTCTCACCTGCATCCTGGCGTTGACGTCGTCGGCATGGTAATACTGGTAGTCAGAGAGCTCCTGGGCGAGGGCCTCCAGCTGTGCAATCCGGTTATTCTCGGCATCAATGTCACTCTGGAACGTCTCGTGGATCTTGTCCAGTGCCTGCAGTGACCCAAAACACGATTGGTCGTCCCGGGACTAACAACAGTGGCCCAATAATCTGACCCGTTATAAAATGGAGAATATCTAACTGCCTCGCATGAAGGGAGCCTAAACAAGCCATATAGTCCTGAATGGTAATCTGTCCTAAACAAAGTTGTCCTGGTATGTAGATAAGGTGTCCTGATAGATGAGGTGTCCTGAAATTCTCTCACCATGATCTCAGCGAGGTTGCTGCTGTCGATGTCTTCGGTGACAACCAGAGCTTCGTCTTTCCCGGCTGCCCACAACTCCACCTTTGACGCCTTCGCATCAAACTTGGCAGCCAGCAGCTCCAGCCTCTGCAGCCTGTGGGATTAGAGGACCAACATTTACACGTCAGAATACTCCATGCTTTCATCACCAATCACATAAGCAACTCTTCTCAAAACGTTTTTGCAAGCACAGTGTGTGTATGGCGCGCCCAAACATGATCAATGCTTTTGTGTTATTTCATGAAACAAGTGAAATCCATAAAATCGACTAGGTAAGTGAGAGTGCTAGAAATAAGACCAGTAATTACAGGGATATACTCGGAGCTGGCACCAACGAACCTCCTCAGTTCACTCCTGAGGAACTCCTCCTTCTCCTTCTCGGCCTCCTCCAGAGTCTTCCAGGCCGCGCTGATGTTTGACACCAGTTTCCCCTCGGAGGGTACGTAGGCAGGGCGACTGCTCAGCCTCAGCTTCGTCTGGAGGGAGAGAGAGATGTGGGAGTAGTTTATCATCCACTAGTTCCACGAAATACTTGGTTTTGGGGGTTTTAGCCTCGTGTTTCTAAAAGGCCGGTCTCCATACTAGTCATACTAGGTCTTGTATGCGGTCTGCAGTGGTCTGGGGAACAGACTACGCTTCCATTTCCACAAGACCCATACTTGCGTCTTCGTAACGAGTCTTGCAATTTTTAGCCACTGTTTTCGTACAGCGTGTCCAGACCGCACCAGGAGTAAGACCATATGGAGACCAGCCTAAAGAATCTGAAAGAGAAAGCAGCTGCCCACCTGGAGAGTGTGGAAGTGAGCCTCCAGTTTGGCCTTCTCGTCTGATTTCGGAGGTTTGGTGGCTGTGCCGTACTGACGGAACTCCTCCAGCTTCTCCTGCGCCTCCGTCAGGTTCTTCTCAGGCGAGCGGTCGTTGAGCCACGGCATGGTCCTCTGAATCCACTCCAGGAGCTGGGGGAGGGGGGAGGGGGAGAGGTACAGTGAAATCTTTACAAGAACCCTCTGAATAAAGGACACCTCTCAATAAAAGACACTGGCTCTGCCCCTTGGTAACACATACAGTAGTTAATATAATATTATACCTCCAAATAAGGGACACCTCTGAATAAATAGGACGTCTCCAAACGTTCCCTTATTCAGGAGTTTTGAGAGAAAAAGCCAGCAGAAAAGAAGTAGAGAAAGAGTGAGAGATGCAGTTGAGGTCAAGGTACACTGGAACAATGCAGTGGTCCAGCCAGTGTACACAAAGACTGTAGTAATATTTATTTGACCAGATCTCTGAGATTAAGGGTCCCTTCACTAGAAATAACTATGTGATCCCTTATCAGGGGAACTAGAAAACCTCCCCTTTATGCAACTGTCACCACTTGCCATTCTGACACACACACCCATTGTAAGGCCCTTCTCCATTGAGGTGTACACACACCTCTCACAGAAAGTAGAAATGTTGTTTATGTTTCACTTTCCTCGTTTTTCTAGCCAGCAATTCCTTGGTATTGTACATTTCCTAGTACCTCTGAGATAAGGACATCTTACTAATCAGGACCCCTTACTGATCAGGACAGCAGTTCTTGAAAGAAAAGGTGTCCTCATTTCAGGGTATCTATTACCATCCCCGTTGGATACTCACATCGCTGGCCATAGTCTCATATTCCTGCATCATTCTCTCGTTCTCCTGGTTGACGTTGAGAACCTTCCCGATCCTCTTGGCCGCCTGCTCTGCCCGGGCGGAGGACGAGAAGGCGTGGTAGTATGAGGACACGTACGTCATGACGGCTCGCTCGTCCGGCTTGGGGGTATTGTGAAGGTCTGTGTGTGAGTGTGAGGGGGGGGGGCAAATATGTAAAGTAGGTTAACTCAACATGCTAATACACCACTGACGTTCAAAAATTCCATACATGAGAGCTTAAGGTAGCATATCTAGCTGTATACATCCGGTGAAGCTGTGCCAAGCCACTGGCTGATCGAGGATTGCGACATGCCCAGAATTCCTACTTATCAACTCTGGCACGACACCTAAAGAGGGCATCTCAGCCCTTCTCTCTCTCTCTCTCTCTCACACACACTCACAGGTGTCACATCTAATTTGGATAGGCTGGCGAAATTACATTTATACACCCAGCTTTCAGCATTGGCAATGCACACAAGGCACTCTTGGTGAGGCTACAATCAGTGAGGTGTCCTGATTAGAGGTGTCCTGATCAGTACACTTTTCTGGTCAGGGGTGTCCTGATCATTGATTGAGGTGTCCTGATTTAAGTGCCCTAGTCACCGTTGTCCTGATAAACTATAGCAGTGTGTGCAGCTCACCCTCGGCGTCCAACATCTTGGGGATGTCCAGGTGCTTCTCTGCCACCTCAAAGGCAAGGTTCAGGTTGTGCATGTCATCACCCTACAACAGAGGACAACAGTCTATGAGCTGGTGCGGAATGTCATTATGAAGGAATGAGCGAATGGAGTGGCAGAGGAATGGGGGAATGGAGTGGCAGAGGAATGGGGGAATGGAGTGGCAGAGGAATGGGGGAACGGACCTTCTTGAGGCTGTCGTAGTCGATCAGTTCTGGACGGTGGCGGTGGATCAGGGCACAGAATGCCAGACCATCCTTGAAACTTGGGGGAGAAATTGAGGAGAGAGGAAGAGAGGAAGAGGGGGGAAGGAAATTGAAGCGTTAAACATTCGCAGGTTTCAGTACACTTACTTCACTTCCTGTTGACACCCAGTCAACTAACAGCTACCAAACTCAGGCTTATTAACACAAACAACAACTTGCATCGCCACTCCATATCGACCATATATAGTCGACTCCTCACTCAAACACCCAATACGACAATTCCAACCATTGCTGCCCTCCAGAGCTGTTACCACACACACACACACACACACACACACACACACACTTGCTGGCTTGCACATGTTGACAGAATTCACTGATACAAAAAACTCCGTAATTTGCCGTATTACACACACATACTCTTCTGGTACAGCATTGCAGTTTCGTACTAGCGTACTATGCAGGAAGGCTCCGATCTTACACACCAACTTAAAAAATGTTTTTAGGTTTCTGTGCCAGCATGTGCCCACATGCATGGCAAGCAAACAGCATATGTTAGGTCTAGTGTGACCAGTGTAAGTATAAACAGAGGAGCCTAGCCGGGCAGGGGAGGTTAAACAAGCACCTCTCTTCTCTATCACAACACAATACTGCTGGCTCAGGGAATAGTGAAAAGAGTCTTGTACACTGAGAGTGCAGGAAACTATTACCACTTTCTGAGAGTTACTATATAACCTTACTACTTACACTAGTCATTTCATTACTTTCCCTTCATCCCTCCCTCCCCTCTTAGCGGTGGTCTCCAATCAGCCAGTGAAAACAAGGCCAAGATGGTAGCCCCCCGCCAATACAGAAGCCGGCACTCACTCTGAGAGGCCAACACTACACTCAACACTACACTAACACTACCGTAGTAGTGAGGTACACAGCCAGCAGTCCCTGGGCCCCACTGTAGTCATATCTGTATGGACGCTAGGAGCCACAGGCATGCAGAGTGGGAATCCCCAGGACACTACACCCAGAGGACAGAGGAAATGAGGCAGTGCTTCTGTGGAGTAACCAGCGCCTACCACCCGCCCTTCTCGCTCCTTCCCCTCTCTCTCTCTCTTCTCCTCTTCCTCCCAACTCACCTCATGTGGAAGTTGTGGACGTTGACGTTCTTGTAAGGAGCTGTCTTTCTCTGGCACCACAGAAGGAGACCTTCCTTGGCAGACAGTTCTGGAGAGGAAGGGAGCGAGGAGAGAGGGGAGAGAGAGGAGAGAGGAGAGAGGAGAGAGAGGGAGGGAAGAGAGGGTGAGGTTTATTTTCAACACGTCACAAGCCAAGATCTCACGCTGCCTACCGGTATCTGCTGTAACTACTGACCTGCCCACTCTACACATAGAGTCAGTTCAAAACAACAGCCAGTACATGTGTGTGTGTGTGTCTTTGCACGGTGAGCCTACCTTCCACGGAGATGTCTTGGATGGCAAAACGGAGGATGATGGTCCAAATCATACCCAGAGTCATCTTCAAGTTCCCATCAACAATTTCTGCGGAGAGAAAGAGGAGCGAGAGGAAGGGGGCAGGGGGGCAGGGGGCATGGACATTTTCACTGTCAGGCGAGTATTGGTGGTCAGTACAGCAGGTCATTAAACGGGCAATAATGTTAATCTCGTGTTTGGTAACAAGACACTGCCCCTAATTACCAGGAGTGTTCCTGGAATGTGTCGGTTGCTAGGAAGAGGCATCATGGCAACAGGGGTTCAGTGCAGCTCCACCTGCACTAGAGTGCTATGTGTTGCCACAGAGGAATGCTTGTTAACACACCAACACACACACTCTTCCTCATTTCACTTTCTTCCACCAACACCACACTATCCACAGCTAGGTGTACAAATTCCTCTTCAAAACAGTCCCATGTTGTGTTCAGATCCCACCACAAACTCTCTCTTTCCCCTTACTTCCACAAGCATACACCAGCATACACCGTTTCCCTTATCCCATTAGATCCTCCTATTCACACACTTCACTTTCCCCCCTCCCCTCCCCCACCCTCACACATACCCTCGGATCCAATCCCGGCCAGTTTGACTCCCTTGCTGGCGATGAAGCTGAGAGCTTTCCCGACATTGGCGATCTTGTGGACCCTCATCTTCCCCCTCTTCTCTGCCGGCGGGAGCTTCTCTCCCGCGATGATCTCCAGGAGTTTCAGGAGATTCAGCCCATCACGGAAATCGGTGTCCAGTTCCTTTATTTGGATGCCCAGCTTCCTTAGGTGAGAGTTACACCAGGCAGTGAAGGTCTGGGAGAGAGTGAGAGGAGGGAGAAGAGGGAGGGGGTGAGAAAGTATGGAGGAGAGGAGGAGAAGAAAAGGAAAGGAGGACTGGTCAATGCAAGGTGAAAATGGGGTGTCAGGGAACATGACAGAATGAAAGGGAGGCAGAAATTGGACAGAAATACACCCTTCGCTTTCATGTCCACACAACACTCCCTCACAGAGAGCCCTGAAAGGACGCGACAATTTGTACAATTCCTTACCACGCACCTCTTCTTCTCTCTCACACGAGTGCATGTATGTGTGTGTGCTATGAACGGCTAAAGGGGCGCCTAGAGTGGAGTTACCGCGACCCAAGGAGCGAAAAGTAGATGGGTGTAGCTGTAATTGTGCCCTAATTTGCAGACGCGTGGTGCTGGCTGGGCTAAGAGACGCGGGCGTTCTCTGCAGAGGGCTTGCTGACCGTGCAGCAGATAGAAGAACGGCCAGCGCGTTGCACGCACAACGCGGCTACCACGCGCGCACGTTCCCCTGCGAATTGCTCGCTAACACAACTGTTTGCACAAAGGTCAGACACCCGCCGTCACACGACCACGAGGTCCGACCTCGACTTGCAGAGCACGCACCTTCTTCTGCTGCCGCTCCCATGCCAGGTCGAGAACAAGTTTGTCGTTGATCTCCCCCTCCTGACCAGCGTACGGTCTGTCAACCTCGTCGGCCATCGCGTCTCCAGAAAACTCGGAACTGAGCGTTTCTCCTCCTCAGACGGACCAGGTTGCGATGCTAGCTGAGCTGCAGTCTGTCACGGCTGGAGAAGAGCAAGGGCCTCGTAAATCGTACAGCGCAGCTCCGGAAAGACGGTGCGCACGCGTCTCACGATTAATGCCTTATATGGGCAAAGAATGGGGGCTCGCGGAATGCCGTATCTCTAATTATGCGAAGAATGGCAAAATAATTTTAGCGCGCGAAGGGCGCGGCGTTTTTTCGTGCCCCGGGGGCCTGCAGGCCGCATGCACCATGCTTACAGTATATTATGCACACTCAAGGAGTTACCCCAATTCCACTTCTGTGCCAACAGTATGTCGGTATGCTCAAGAAATGCAGCCCCCACACAGGAAAACGCACATTACAAATGTAGAGCCCCTTGACTCTAATTATGACGTGTAAGTAGAGAATTATACAGTGTTGTTCACTCACACGAGACCGCAGTGTTCTCTAATGCATAAAGGCCCCATAGTAGGCAAGCACTACAGCCAACCTGTCCATTGCAATAGGCCTAATAGACTGAGTCAAGTCTGTAAATAGGCTCTTTCCTAAGAGCAATGGACAGCGAAACAGAGAAGGTACATAAGCGGATGGTAGAAGAACACATGTTGAGGCATTGCTAACACAAGCCATCACATTTCACAGCAAGTTCTCCAACAAGAGACACTCCAGTAAAAGAGCAGTGAAGAGGTTAAACATAAAAATAATTTCATCGTTCACTTGAAATTGCTAAAGTCCATTTTGAGTTTGATTGAAGGGGGCTGAACTTGAGGGGTCCGACTGGGTTCCCTAGGACCCCCCTGAACTGGTCCCGTTCCTCCGCCCCCCTGGCCGGCTCTAATTGCATTCTCCAGCTGTTGTCGCAGCGACGGGGTGGCCTGCATGATGTTCTTGAAGGGTTCGGGATACTTGGGGCCAATTGCCATCAGTCTCTGTAGAGAGTGGGCGTGGAGTTGCTGGGAGGGAGAGGAGGAAGAGGAAGAGTCGAGGCAGGAGATGAAGAGAGGTAGGAGGACACCCAACATCTCTGACTCTGGAAGGAGAGGAGGGAGAAAACTCATTAGGAGAGGATTACACACAAATTATGCCTTCCACGCTCAGTAAGGTGGGAAACGTCCACAGGAGAACAACTTGCAGTTTCAGGGCCACTGTTGAAATATTCACCACATATTTTGTGGGTGGTATATATCACCACTTGTACAGCAAAACAGGCAATCAGTGCAAGTTCTCCTGGTGTACAGTTCTAGTTTGCCAACAACATCGTGAAAAGTTGAAATCTCCCCACACATTTCCTGTTGCTCATAGTGACCGTAAACTTACTGTGAGTCTCTGGAGTCAACTCCAGCAACATCTCCAGTCACCTGGAGGGCTTCAATCACTGTGGTTACAGGCTCCGCCTTCTTTTCAACGAGTCGCACGACCTCTGGACCCAGGGACTGTATGAACGGATTCCGTACCTCCACCTCGCTGGACTGGAACACAGACAAAGCCATCTGCAGAGTTTTCATCTGCAACTGGAGAGAGGGAGAGTTTTTTCTCTACTATATTAGTACAGTAGATGTGAATGCAACGCATTATGTGAGTAAACATTCGTGCGAAATTGTAGCAGTTTATTTAAACTTTCAAGAAAAACATGTCAGGATGACACACAGACTAGCACATGTACGCATGTACAAAACTCCACATTCGCTCTATATCCAGTAAGTGTGCATATTAAAGAGGGGGTGAAAGGTATGGCACTCTCTACTAGATGCATTTACATGGAGAAGAGTGACACCCAAACCTTTTCATCAGTAGACGTGAGGCAGTCCTTGAAGAGGTTGGTGGCAGCTGTGAACAGCTCTGAGCCATTCGGACAAATCTCTGGAGACGGAGCCTTCACAAGGACAGTCAGGATCATTAGTTTCACCTCTCTCTCTGTCTGAGAGAGATCTCCCCTGGGGCTGGTCGAGGAGGGAGTGGGGTTTAGGCCTCCGCTGGATTTGCCGAGAAGGAGAGAGGCGAGAGCGGATTTGAGGGTGTGGCAGAGGGCGTGGCCATGTGCGGGGTGCGTGAAGCAGAGCCCTGAGACGAGCTGGTGGAGAGAGCGGAGACAGGAGGAGAGGAGAGGGGGCTGAGCGAGGCCAGCAAACTTGGCCGTGTGGAGGAGGATGTGGAGGACTGTTGGCAGAGCGTCGACTGACTCTGGGAGAGTGCAGAGTTCAAACGCAGCCATCAGGAGGGAGACGGCGAGAGCTGCGACTTGTATCTCTCTCGCTGTGCCCTTGTTAACAGGCCCAGAGGTGTCCCCCCCGTCAGGTCGAAGGTCAGGGACCAGGCGAAGAAGACAGCACGCCGACACCTCCATGAGGGCAAACATTGGCTTTCTCTCGTATTCCTCTGACGAAACTTCCCCCAACCTCTCTCCCTCCTCCTCCGTCTTCCTTCCCAGAGCCTGCCCCACGAGTCCAGCAATCTGCATGACTATCACATGCACGTCATGTGACTGGCACGTGAGCAGGAGCCTGTGTACTAAGTGCAGGATCTCAGTGGCCAGCTTCGAGTCTGAGCTGATCTCACTCTGTACAAAATCGGCCTCCAGGAGTCTGTGCAGGGTACGGAGGCAGTGGAGAAGTGTGGGGAAAGAGTCAAGTGTCGCTGGAGCACACAGTGTCTGTACAGCCAGCCCCAGGACGAGATAGAGCCTCTCTCTCTTCGGATCGCTTAGCAGAGGAGCTGTGTTTCTGGCCCCCGGAGCCGATAGGAGTGGTTCCGGCATCAGGGGGTGTGGTGTGAGACCCACTCCTTCTTTCTGCGTCGCTCCATCGTCTCCCTCCGTGAGTCCCGTGGTCTTCAACCAGATGGCAGCAGCGTGGAGGAGAGACGGCCAGTTCTTTTCAAAGTAAGGTCTCACCCCGTCCGCCACGTTGTGCGAATAGAAGGTCCCGCCAGCGGGAGGGAGCTGCCGGGAGAACTGAGGCGGGAGGGCCAGGTGGGCGTGGTCGAGGAGAGCTGCCAGCCAGTATTGGGAGAGGAGAGGGAGGTGGGGATTAATTAGAGTCATGGCAGCGGCGGGAGAGTCTGTCGTTTCCTCGGCCGAGGGCTGGGAACTCTGCTGCCCAACCTCCTCTGATATCTTGATGTACAGCTGTGTAATAGATTGGGACACAGTGACAAACACACAAAGGTTCAGTGAAGAGTGTGTGTGTGTGAGGTTCATGCGAATGGTTCTGAGTAACTTACGATACAGGAATGGACAGCAAGTACAGTATGGTATGTATCAGTATGACTTGTAAGTGTGAAGATACTGTTATAGGGACGGAATTTAAGACCACACTCTTTGGAGGTGACATCTACAGTACATGATGCAACTTGAGGAAAGTGTAATCTAAGACAAAAATATTATGGGTGGTGTGAATTACAGAACATGGTAGGTGAAATACAAACCGACACCTACAACATGTGTACATTATTTCCCCCGTATCGACCGTGAGTAGGTCCCCACCGATTACCTCAGCCCAGGCCCGGAGGACAGCCAAACTCTCCATGGTAGCCACAGCCTCTCCGTACAACGAGGGATGCTCTCTCTCAGACGTAATCTTCCTCAGCGATGACACCAACAGCTGCTGGACCCTCTTCAGGTCGCCATGGTTACCCGACACACTCCCGCCCAGCCACTCACTGCACACCTGATTATGTATCATACAGATTAGAGGGGTTTCCCCATTACATCATAGAGTGTGAGACCTGGCAAGCCATGGCAGTAACGTGGGGAGCTGTTTCGGCTGTGAACGCTGGCCTCAAAGCAGCACCAATCTACAAACACAGTATGACATAATAATTACATCATGTTAATAACGATGAAAGGGGTGTGGCTGACCTGAGCCTGGTACTGCTGAAGGAGTGAGAGGCCCGGGCAGTCGGGGTCAGGGGTAGACGAAAACAGCTCTATCACATCCTGAGGGTGAAGAAAGAATAAGGTCATCATACCGTACTTGCCGTGTGCCTTTAGAGAGAGAGAGAGAGGACAGGAGGGAGAGGGAGAGTAAAAGTTAAGGTGTTGCGTACCCTGAGGGCCTGGTAACCAGCCAACTTCAGTTGGTCCACACTAGCAGTGGCTGCAATAAAAGAGGTCCTTACCAACTCTGCCAGATGCATCACCAGATAGTCACCTACATACATGGGTACAGAGATTTCTCTTGTACAATTTCAGGAACTTCAGTGTAACGTACCCCCCTTCTGTTTCTTTCTTTTCAAGGCCAGGGAGAGGTCAAAGTGCGCCGGATCACTCTTACAGACGTTGTAAATCTTGCGGGAACACTCGACTGCAAACTCCTTCGTCGGCCATCTTGGAGAGATCTTGGTAGCTGGTTGTTGATCCTCGCCAGTCGTGAACTTTGCCATGTCTTCATCCATCTCCTCCGCCCCCTCCGCCCGGGCGGTGCCACCTCCCCCTCCGCCTGTCTGCCCCTGCTGCGATTGCTCGTTGACGGCAGCGAGGACTCCGTTGCACAGCTGCAACCACCTCATTGGGTCCTCCGGGGCAAGAGACGTGAGGAGGCTGAACAGAATCTCACGTAAGTCTGCACACAGCTTCGCGTCGCTCTCCGAGTCAAGCTTTGCCAGAACCACGTGCTCTAGTCCGCAATCCTCAGACTTGGTTCCAGTCTGGGACCCAGAGGTGTCTTCGTTCCATACCTTCCTGGCCAGGTTCCAGACGGTGTTGGGGTCCCGCTGGGTGAACTGTCGGAGGCAGTTGGCAGCTGCTCTCCTCAGCAGCAGGTGGGCGGAGTCAAGGTTACGGCACAGAATGGGGACCACCTCAGCTAGACTCACATACTGAGGGGCAAACACCTGCAGTACCATCAGAAGAGAAACGAACAGTTTGAACTCTATTCAGCCAACAATGTGTCTATAGAGCTATTATGGAAGTTAAAAAGGGCTGGTATATACAGTATAAGGATTACTCAATGAGTTATGGCCATGGAAGAAACAGCAGATAGTTCAATATTGTAGGAGCATGTTGTTCTAAATTACAGGTTCACTACGCATAGTCCTGCTGAAAGTAATGGGCTCCTGTCTTCAGCCACTGTTCAGAAACCAGACACCCTAGCCCCCCTCTCACCTGTAGCTGCTGGGAGCATGCGATGGCTGCTGACTGGACAATGGGGTCAGGGTGACTCTGGACAATGGAACAGCAGGTGAGACACGTGCTACGAGTGGCTGACATTCCTCCAGACGTGTCCTGTAGCTCTGGCCCCAGTGTCGTGAGGAGCGCACTCAAACACTTCCCCAGACACTGGTGTACCTCCACTAACGAGGGGGGCGTGGTCACCAGGAGGGAGAAGACGAGAGAGAGGGTGAGCTCAACGTAGTTCCGAAACATTGGTCCCCCACTGTCCGCGATGAGCGCGAGGGCGTGGAGAGCCCAGACCTGGACCGAGGGGTTGGCAGAGTCTCGTGCCAGGGAGTGCAGGAACCGCACGCTGGTCTGGAGGTGCTGTCCCGAGCCCATTCCACCGACGTAGCGATGGAGACAGCCGAGGACTAGAGAGTGGCCCATGCGAGGTACGGCGTCACGTGTCGACTTGAGAGTGTTGAAACTTCCCTGGGCTATCTGGGACATGAAGTTGACATCTCCACCGACTTGCGACATTCGCCCGAGAGCTTCTCCGGCTGCACAGCGCAGCATCGGATCCGAGCTGGCCAGAGCATTCTGTGACACAGACACATTACACACAGTAGTTGGAGTTTGAAAATTTGAATTGCGCAATATGATTGGGCAGCACTGACTACTAGAGTAAAACCCGTCGACTCTTAGGTGAAAGTATAAAGATGTCCCTTGGTTTAGAAGGAAAGAGGTAGAGTAGGAAGAAGGAAGGAGAAGAAGAGGAGGAGAGAGAAAGGAGAGGGAAGGGGGTTGGTTTTCTTTTCAAAACGGGTGCTGTTGTTGACGCTCACTTTTGTCTATTTATGGGTACAACATTAACCAAAACATAGCGAACGGGGTGTTTGCTCAGAGCATTCCACAACATTGGGAATATGAAAATACACACCAGAACATCTAGTAACAAACCTCCCCCCAACTGTCACGCAAGTCAGTTCACATGTAACATATGCAGTACACACACTAAGTACAGTAATGTTCTCACTGCTATGAGAGCGTAGGCATTCTTGAAAAGGTCCTGCTCTCCCAAAACAGCCTTCCTCTCCACTAGACTCTGCCAACAAACACAACAACAACATCTGATCATGTAGTGGTGTGGTATCGCCATACTAGACCAACAAGACACTTGGCCTCAGTTATGGCTCTTAGCTAAAGTGGTGGGAAGGCGAGCTGGCGCAGTATAAATGTGTATAGGTCTTTTGGATTGAAGTACGTCTAGTAGTCATTTGCCCCTTCCTGCGATCTCTTGCAAATTTACATTTCCAGCATCACTTTCGACCCGTCCCCAACATTTGTGGGTGTGGCTTTAAAACGACCCCTGACCTTGAGAGCGGCAAGGAAGGCGGTGAATATGTTAATCTGGAGAGCCAGTTGCCGGGCGCCCTTTGCCTGTCGAACACACTCCCTGAAGTGGGTCAAGAGCTGGTGGCGATGTTTCTCTGCCACGGCGGGGAACGATTGTCCAAACAGGAGGACCGCCGAGTCAATGACGGCCACACCCAGAGGGAGGGGCCCCGGGACCTCCATTCCCTGTGGCAACATTGGACCACAAATTCACTGTAACATTCAGGGAAGATGGGGTCATAAACTACGGGAGTATTATAATGCCAGACCAGTAGACCACCCCATTTTAAAGACCATGTTCTCCTGACTACTTCAGATCACCCCATTTCAGGTGCAGTCATAAAGGTTTATAGTTGGTCTATCTTCAGATAGGGAGCTATAAGTATGATCCTCAAAAGGTAGTCCTGTCTTATCTTGTGCATTTGTTTTCTCCTTTCAAGACTGGCGGTGGACTCTCACCTCACACCCGTTCATGAAGACACAGAGAGGGTCGTGTTCAAGGGCCCCGGAGCCAGCCGCACTGTTGGGTTGCAGCTGCTCCTCCACACTTCGCTGGTCCGTCTCCTCCAGCCACGCCCCCAGGAGGATGCTGTCGTCATGGTGACACATGGAGCGGAGGAGGGAGGTGGTGGTGGTGTTGGCGAGGTTGTCAGCGAGAGTTATCTCGGTGACCAACTCCCTGAGGAGGACATTCAGGCTCCCTGGAGGGAGGAGAGAGGGACGAGGGGGAAAGGAGGAGGGGGCGGACAAGTTGAATAAGGAGTAGAACATATTAAGGAAACATCTGGTTGAAAATGAATGGGCTTTCATTGACCCACTGGGAACAGAAATTGTACTTTGTGGCCATGTCCACTGGGAACAGGAAAAATGTTCTTTGTGGGTTTTCATTTTTGACATGCACCCACTAGGAACAAAAAAAACAGCTTTGTGGGTTTATTTTTGACACTACCCACTGGGAACAAAATATTTTAGGAACAGCTTTGTGGGTTTTCATTTTTGACATGTACCCACTATATAGGAACAGGAAACCCATGAAATGTCCCTTCAAAGTGTTTCCCCTCAATGATGTGTTACGTATATACACACCTTCATAGGCAGTGGGAGAGAGATGGGAGAAGGTCTGGTAGAGCCTGAGTCTTAGCATCGCTCCGCAAGCCTTTATCTGTACCCCATGTACCTTCACCAGCAGCGGTAGTCTGTATACACGAGGAGGAGGAGGAGGAGAGAGGGAAGGAGATGAGAGAGTGGAGTAAATAGTGTGTGAGTACTTGGATAGCATGGCGAGAGCTGAATCTAGAGGCAGCATAAGTCTTGTTGTGATGTCTGCAGTGAGCATGTCGGAACAGGACATCAGGAAACTGCAGATGGCTGGAGGAGAACACAAAAAGTGGTAACAGTGCAATAAGTATGAATATTCTATTCACAGGCAAGAGCCCCAGTCCTGGTCTCGAGGGCAGTGGTCCAGAAGTTGAGAGTCCCTCCGGTCTGCTCGTCGCCGAGCTCCTTCATGGAGCGAGGGAACGAGGAGCGCCAGAGGCTCAGCAGTGACCGCAGCTGCGAGCCAACGTGAGTGGGACCTGTGATGGTGGACAGTGGAGCAGTCAGCAGAGGATGGGGGAAATTTTAATGTTGTGAGATCAACAGTTATGAAAGTTTTGGGGCAGAGGCAATCTTTGTAGCAAATCACACTCATATCCTGCATCTTTCCCTCAAACCTTTGTCATTCCTCACCTCTCTCTCTCTCTCTTCAAACTTCCTATCCTCCAAACACAGACAGTATTGTACCTAGACTGATGTAGGCGGCAATGAGGGCCCAGCCACTCTGGATATAAGTGAGTCCATTCTCCTTGTCCTCCCGAGCCTTCGTCAGGAGACCCTGGGCTACTCTGTACACCTCCTGAACAATACACACACACACACACACAGGAGACCCTGGGCTACTCTGTACACCTCCTGAACAATACACACACACAGGACTCCGTCTCAATCTTCACTACCAACACTACTTTCACATTTTTTCAAATCACCGAAATGTCTAAATGGCAATTTTTTCATTTTAGCGAAAAAAGTTCTTGCGGATGTGGTTTCAGGTGTGTGTGTGTGACATGCCAATCAAGATGTGTGAAATTTACTTTTGACCAATGGTGAAATTTTAGTTACACTGTGCATACTTTCCCTGTCTGCTCTGTCAAGTTAACACTTTTGGAGTTCAACAGAATGCAAACTTTGTGAGCCCAGGGGTTGCTTGCTAACCAGAGCTTTAGCAGTTGGGAGTCCCAGTTCACTGTGCCTGGCAGTTCCCAGGAGAGACGCGATGGCAAATGAGTAGCCAGCGGTGGCTATGGGTGACCCGGCAGCCTCGCTGAGTCGAACCATGCAGTAGGTGAGGAGACTGCTCAGCTGGGAGGGGAGGGAGAGACCGAGACAATGGACACACCAGGCCCCGGAGAGACGGGCTGCGGGGGAGGAGTGACAGAGGACGAGGTGGAGAGCAGAGAGGAGGGGAGGGAGTTTCCCGGTCTCTCCGGACTTCACCTCCGTCGGGATCTGACCGGAGGATTCGTTGACCACCAGTGGCAGGGCAGCCGTGTTGAGGCTGAAGATCAGAGCACCTGAGAGACAGCGTGAGGTGACCATCACCAAACAACTACAGTCTTATTAATTCAAGTTGAGGGGAGAGCCGACATGCAAGGCGAATCATTCAACGTACACAGACACTAATTGTTGAACAAAAATTTTCCATTCGAAGGGACACTATTAGCAAAACCATCTCTTGAAATGCTGCTCTGCTCATAGAGCGAAGAGTTCTGAAGTTGCGCTAAAGTGCATCTTGAACAAACCTATCTCTAGCATGGAGCAGATGACGGCATGTTGGTTGACTGTCTTCTTCTCTCCCCCTCCCCCAGGGGTTGCCCCCCCTCCCGACGAACCCTCCAATGGCTGCTCCCCCTCCCCCACCGAGACTCCTCCCCCCACAGATGACGAGGTGGGCGTGGTCAACATGGCTACGATGAGCTGACAGAGCTGTTTCGCGGCCACGAATTGAGCCGACTCTCCGAGCAGTTTGCCAAAGACAGAGCGGAAGATGAACCCGACACACTGGCGGGAATACACGGCATCGATGTGGCTCTGAGTGGTCTTGGGATGAGACACCAGCTCCAGGACGTGTCTCGTTATGGTCGCGAGGTTCCGCCCCACCCAGACTCCGCCCATCTCTGTCAGGAACACAACGTAGGCCTGACAGCAGACAGAGGGAAATACAGTATCATGCACAAATAGCAAAAATAACACTAAAATTTTCTTATAGTGGACTAAAAATTTCACATTAAAAAGTTCCTGTGCACCTCACAAAGCACAACTTACACATGCAGTTACTAAATATATAGCATATCCGTGTGTTGTTTAAGAACAATTGTAGCTATAGACCAAGCAATGATATTAATGCCAACTCATTACACTGACCTGAGTGATCCCGACGCGGACGTCGCGACTGGCGCTGCCCATCTTGAGCAGCTCCGACCCTCCGGACTTCAGGAACCCGCTGGCACCTCTCACAAACCCATTAGCCAGCACGCTGAGCGCCTCCTCCAGGCTGGGTAACTTCAGCCGGCCTCTCAGGGACTTGGCGACTGGTTTCTGGGTCAGAGCCAGCAGGGAGCCGAGCAGTCTCGCCACGGAGCAGCGGACACTGTAGCTGGAGCCGTCGAGGGCCCGGAGACATGCGTTTGTGAATGAGTCGAGGTCTTGTGAGTAGAGGAAGGTGGAGTTTTTGGACAGCTCGAGAGCACACTGGGAGACAACAACGACACAACCACAATTAGCATTGCCAAAAAACACAATTCCGACTTCATTACAGTACAGCAGATGCTAGTGATCAGCTATTAACGTTCATGTAATATGAAAACGACACGAAACTGATGTTGTTACACCTTGGCAGCTGCGCTGCGGACGGCCAATGACTTGTCAGTGAGTCCGTTACGAACACACTTGTAGATATCCTTGTGGGCAGAGGTGGAGGAGGGGCCTAGTCCGTCCAGCAGCCGCCCAAAACATCCGAGAATCTCACTGCGATACTGTACAGGGAGATATAGCAACTCAGTACACTACAGTATACTGATGGTTTACCAACTAGTGTACTGATAGTATACTAGATTGCCTTAGTATACCGACCCAATAACTAGTTTACTGACCAATATACTAGGAGTATACTAGATTCCCCACCTCTTGTATTCTCATGGCCTTGACAAGTACTTGGACAGTCTCAGGGAACATACTTCCAGCCTGCATGGAGACAATTTAATGGGGTAATTACAGGGGCTTACCCCTGAATACGTACCATTCTGCCATGTTGCTGAAAGATGGCTCCAAGACACTCTATAGCTGCTCTGTATACATCAGAAAAGAAACTTTGAAAAGTACACAATCTTACAGAAATCACGTACAGTTTATTATTGGAGGGGCCAGCAGCAGCATCCTCCTTCATCTTGATGATGTCGCAGCACTTCCCGAGGCTCTCGTGCATGGAGAAGGTGTCTCCCACGGAGTAGAGGGCCACGAACGCCTGTCCGAGACATGTGTGCAGTGGAGGGCCCAGCGAGGCCTGCAGCTGCTGCTGTAGCTGGGCTACCAACTGCTTCTGGCTTCGCTTAAACTCCTCCTGCGGCCCGCGCATTAGTTCGTACCGTATAAACAGCCATTGAGAGAGAGGAAAAAGGGGTCGGTCTAATGGATATTACTACCCCCGTGGGCTTGCCTTGCTGGTGTTTCTGACGGACTGCGGGAGTTTCTGCAGCCACTGGAGGAGAACCAGGACCTGCTTCTCCTCAGACAGCTTCTTGAAAGCCTCTTCGTCCAGTAGCAGCATCTTTACAGGGGCGCTTCAAATAGAGATTCGGTGAAATGCGCATGCGCACATCGGAGCGGAGCTGGTGTATTAATTTGCAGTCTTCTCGCCGCCGAACCTTGTAGCGGACCGTCTGCTTGCCCCTACACTATGACACTCACGATGGAGTTTTGGAAAGTGTTCATTGTGACGGCTGCGTCACTGTCCGTGCTAAATTCTCAAGGTACCCTTAGATCGGGATCGGCTACCGTTTGCATTGTGGAAGTTACTTTACCCGAGGAGGCGGTGCGCGTACTTTACTGCGTCGATTTCGCGTTTCTGCTTGCCGACGACGGTGCAGGCGCGGAACAGATTGTCGCGGAGAGCGTATGGGCCGCGGACGGTCAGAGCGCCACTGATTTAGGGATCAGTGGCGAGAGAGAAGAATTGCTGGAAATAGTCCTACGTAAAGTTTCAGACAGGGACTTACTTGAAATAAGTAAGATTATAACTTGGTACAGCGTTGCTCCCTATCTTTTCGACGACGCCAGAGACGTTATTAGAGGCATTGATAGGGATGGTAGTAATGAAGCAGAGAAAGGACGAAGCTGATGGACCGGTGGGAGCGAAAGGTATCGGAACCGACTTATGATGCAGTTATCAGAGCAATGCTGAAGGCTGGAAAGACAGAAGAAGCAAATGAGGTGATGAACCTGGTTCTGAACGGTGCTCCGAAATCTACATTCGACGATGTACTCAAACTTTTTACTGATACACTGCTCACGTCCACTGATCACCACTGGTTCGAGGAAGCTGTTCGCAATATTGTAAAGACTAAATGCTCAGATGAGCACTTGCGTGATATTGCTGCATTCATATCCTGGGATACTGTTGGTCCGTATCTGCCTGAGATCACTAGACTTGACATCAAAGACATTGACCGAAGTGGCAAAGACAACCAAGCAGTGAAGAGACAGAGGCTGGTTGACTTGTTTGAAGAGATAAACGGAGCTAATGCCACGTACGAGGCACTGATTACAGCAATGCTGGATGCTGGCGAGAGAAGAGAAGCTGAGAGGGTTGTATCCCTGATATGGCCTCCTAAAAATCTTGATACAATCACTCCTCGTGAGCTTCATGCACCTCCCCTGTTTGCTGAATTGCCAGTTAACAGAGGGAACAACCCTCCAGATGATGATGATGATGATGACAAACACCCTAATCCTACCCCTAATCCTAACCCTAATCCTGGACAAGATGATGACAGCGATAAGCCTAAACGTGAGACCGTTTTTTATGGTATTTGGATTTTCATCGTCTCTGTTGCCTTCATAATATTTGGCACCCTTCGCGTCATAGTTGTAATTGCATTTGTAGTCATCAGCCATTGCGTTATTGTAATGTTAAGTGTAGGTTTGTGTAGTGCACTCTATGATGCCTACAAAATGGGTAATAATGTATAAAGTACTGTAACATTTATCCCCTCTGTATTGCTAATGTTTTGTATATACCACAGTGTTTGTGTATTCATATGTATTATACATGTATTCACTTTACTTCAGATTTTGAACATGCATTCCGATAGATAGATAGAGAGAGAAAAGGGGACTACTATGGGAACCCCGTTATATAATATGGCATAAGCCACTGCTATCTAGGGCAATACCCTGGGGGAGCCCCAAGTACATAAGGCCAGGCAGTAACCCAGGAAAAGTCCCATTATGTCACAAGATTTGGTTGCAACTGAATGTTGTTGTACACAATTGCATATGACAACTTTTTAAGTAAGCTGTTCAGTTCATCTCCAGCCAAAGAAGCCTTTCACGTACCTATTAGCATGACCAAGATTTTATTTAACGTCATGTAAAGGAAATCAAACTCACTGGAAGAATGATTTGCCTTCCTTGGGCTTGAATTCCATATATATTTGCTCCTCTTCTTCCTTACACTTACCATCATTTAGTTCCATTGCTGTGTCTGTGCAGTCAACACACAAGATATCAATTAACAAAACATGAGCTAATTCTCCAAACCTGTCCGGCATGGCAGACTGAGTTGGTGAAGTCTCCTCCTACTCTGCTCTGCCGCAGCTTCAACCACACGTCTCTCTGGTACAACTCTCCCTGCTTCAGCTGGCAGCCTGGCGGCACCTGGGTCTGGCACCTGTGGACAGACAAAACAAAACTCAATTCTAAAAGAGGAGAGAGATCATGGCTTTCATACAAATGAAGATTGTTCTTCCGTTTCATCGGATTCTGCTCTTATCTTCTTAGCAGCTCTGACAACTGTACGAGAGTCTTTGTGACTGACATTAATGGGAGAATATTCACCAGTGTTTTCAATGGACACGTCTGTAGGATGTGGAGCACAATTTGAGGATCATTCAGTTTGGTGTGTAAAGTATAATTTACCACTTTTATGTTTGCCCAATCTGACTGAAGATGAGGGAGGGAGAGATGCCAACATCAGGATGACACGAGGGTGAGCACTCAGTGGTTGATTGTTTTGGGCAAAGTAGAGCTTGTCACATGCTGTCCAGGGACAGTCACCTACATTAGTGTCACGTTCCATTCGACAATTATTGACATATCCTGTTGCAAAAACCTGTGTACACAGCAATGGTATCCGTGCAGAGGAGAGGCAGGGTGTTGGACCTCACAACTTGAGACAGTATTGCAAGTGCAGCCCTCTGGAGAATTTGAAATATTAGTTGATGTTGATGAGAGATGACTAAACTTAGCTAACTATGAACCTTCAGGTCTCTCTGAATGGTTTGCTCCCTGCCATCAGCTCTCGCTGCTTCCCTCAGCTCATGACTAGCTCTGCACTTTATCTTGAAGACTGTGGAGCCAAACAGAACCAGACGCGTGTCTTGCTCAGTGAGCTTGAAATCCTGCAGTCCCATCTTCATTCTTTAGTCTTGCATGCAACCGTTTTTCTACGCGCATGCGCAAGTTCTCGCACAGTTCCCGCCAAATTTACGCGGGCGCAAATAGGACATTTGTTTGTGTATTTTCGGTATACATGCAACGAATATTTAGAACATTGCTATAGCAACGCAAAACAAATACAGTGCTTTTGCGCGTGCGTGGTGCCGTGCATAATAGCTAGCTAGAAGTCAAAGAGGGGAGTGTCACAGAGAGCAGTGGTGGTAGTGATGAACACAGAGTCTTGGTGCCAGGTGGAGGGAAACTCCAACCAGAAGTGGACACGCTCGACCCGGAGGCACTATGAGAAGGCACTGCAGAGCTCAGTGTTCCACCAGCTGGAGGTGCCTGCCACTGACGAGGGTCGCGTGGACTGGTCCATGGCAGAGAAACCACAGCCAGAGAAACTGGCCAAGAAGAAACACTTTCAGCAGAAATGTAAGCACTCAAAATCTCTGATCGAGCAAGTTCATACAGTATTATTACTGATACACAGATGAGACTACACTGAGATGACAGATGCAAACTGCATTCACAGAACAAGCCAGTGACTACATACATGCATAGGCTGCTGCCATTTCTAGAGTCTCTGATCAGATATCAAGTTATTTTTCTCCACACACTCCCTCCAGCATGGTACCATCAAGCAGGCTGGTTCAAGAAGACATATATAGTCAGTCATCATGTGCCTCTGCAGTATCTCCAGGACAGTGCTGGCTCAAATCCCCGCCACCTTATGTAGCAAAGTCACACCGATCAGTCATAATATACAGGATGGCTGAGCAGCTCACTGTCATAAGCAGTCCCACACCAGATGCAGTAGCAGTGCTCCACTCTCAGATATGCAGTCAGAACTCTCAGTTTCTCAGCCACCTGATCGGGTGATGATCACAGCACATACCATAAAATGAGAGGACACACTAACATCTTCATCCTCTTCTTCTTCTTCCTCCTCCTTTTTCTCCTCCTCTTCTTCTTCCTCCTCCTCTTTCTCCTCTTCTTCTTCTTCATCTTCATTGAGCACCAACTCAGCTGGCCAGAAGTAAGTCTCTTGAGGAGCCTCAATCCCCTATATACATTGAACACACACCCAACCAATGGAACACACAATATACCATACGGTGGAACACGTCTCATACAAGTAGATGGGATGAGGGGGTGGGTACACATACCTTGGCAGAGTCCAGCTGCTCACATGATCTCTGGCTCTTCCTCAAGTCAGCCTCCAGCCTCCTCTCACAGAAGGCTCCCTGCTTCCTCTGTCTGAAGTCCCAGAACCAACGACTCTCCTTCACCTTCCTCTCTTCAACCTTCTCCTTCACGTACATATCCCTCCCCAGGCCACCCTTGCCTGGAGCAGCCGTTAATATTGGACACACAGTTCCTACTAGCCTAAGTCTCAAACTCCACCTTCCTTCAGTTGTATTGGTAGTGGGGTAGTAATCCCAGCACCTGGTTGTCAACAGAGAAGTAAAGGAGGATGTGATTTGAGTGAAGTTTCTCACCAGTTTTCCCTAGTCCCATTCCTTTCTTGTATCCCATCTTCTGGAGCATTGAAAAGCCTTTGTTCTCAGTAGAAATGTGCGTGGCAAGGCCTTTTGACCTGGCCTCATGCTCAGTGGCTTTGAGTCTCTTGTGTTTAGGCTCGGTTATTGATTTCCCTGATGCTTTGTCTTTCCTTTTCTGGCTTCTGCTCTTCAGTCCAGGCCTCACGTCTTCCAAACCCAGAAGAAAAGCGTCAGACATGTAGTCTTCCGCCATTTTATACTCCAGGGTCACGTGATATTCCCGTGATTGGAATATATTTTTGAAAAATGGCGGATAATGGCGAGGGCGGCGGTGAGAAACCTCGGACCGATATCACTGGGCTGAGGCAGCAAGTCCTTACTTTGGCTGCGAGGAGTTTTGAAGGTGCCGCTGAAAAGCCTATAGACGAAGTGGTGTCGCGCGTACTGACCAAGAGACGAAAGAAATGGAGAAAGAGACACAATCTCCCGTCGGAAGGTAACAAGCTTAGCACTTCTATAAACAACCTTCGTTTTTAGACCTAGACAACTGAGCGTCGCTGAAAGAGTACGTCGGTTTTGTTTTCTGCAGCGAGGCCGCCTGACCCGGGACTGAGGGGCGAGAAAGAGCGACTGACTGAACGGTTCTACCAGTGTGGGGAGCGGCTCCGTGCATGCCGAAACAGCGGCTACTCCCTAGTCAGGCAACTGGAGAGTAACAAGAGGAGACTTCAGCTCCAAGTTGCTGTAAGTCTTGAAACCCTTCTTGCCAGCCATTAGTATGATGATTATGGGTGTTATTCTTTCAATAGGAAAGGTATCAGCAGATGACGACTAGGTTGTGTCTGGAGCCAGAAAGCAACAGGCAGTCAGCTTCCTTTGAAACAGCAGAGAAAGACACAATTCTCCTCAAGGTAATCAATAACTATCAGGAAGTAAATGTAATTGGCTGCATTATTGCTCAGTGATTAGGCTATTAGAGTCATTAGTAAATTACCTTGAGTGATGTACATCATAGGATCTCCAGAGAGCCATATCCCAGGCTGATGCTCTGGTTAAGGTGAAGAAGATGAAGCTGTCGATGACTCCGAGACTTCCACCGCTGCACCGCAGGGAGCTCCTGAATGACACCATGAGCAACGACCAGTTTGGCCTGAGTCTGCTTGTCCCTCCACACCAGGTGGTGCAGCAAGCCTCCCCCTCTATCTCAGAGGACGAGGCCGGCAAAGTCAAAGTCGACGTAGAGAGATCCAGAAGGCACCCAGAGCTGACCCAACTACTGAGATCTCCTGGGAACGGAGCTGCTGCTGAGGACTCGCCGCCTCTTGAACAGCTCAATGTAACAAATGGCAACAGTTCTCGAAGAGTTTCAACTGCTACTGGGACTGATGTACCTGGCGAGGGAGTAGAAGAGAGAATGAACCTGGACCCTGCCGTAGAGCTGGCGCCCATTATGAGAGAGATTGCTGCTGACGAGGGGGGCGAAGGGTCGTCAGAGGATCCCCCAAGGGTTGCCTGTGTGATGAGTCTCATGGAGGGGCAGGACACTGCCAGCGTGGTGGAGGTGACCGCCGACAATGATGATTTAATCGAAACAAACAGCTCTCTTTTCTCTGACGAAAAGTCAGACATTGTCGAGCAACCTTTGGAGCCGGCGTTCGACGACCGACTAATGTCAAACAACATTCTGCCCGAGAAAGAAGAGATTGTGTCCACAATGCCCGATGGCTTCAACGAGGAGGTAGAAGTGGAGAGCGAACCATTAACTCCACCCCCGTCGCACCCCGCCCCCATAGACACAAACCACAACTCTATGAGTGAAGAGTCGTCTCCAGAGAACCACCGGGACATGAACCACCACCAGAGCATGGCTGAGGAGGAGTTGGTGGAAATGATAATGAGAGACTCTGAGCTCACTGCCTGGATTGCCAAGGCAAGGCTCAGACCTCGGACTCCCATTAGCTACAGATTGGCCAGGAAAAAACGGCGCTCACGATCTCGAAGTTCATATGTACATGAATAACTGTATAGTTGTATTATACAACCGAGCGTTTATTCTCTCTTTCTTGTTACATCATGTTGCGTGTGCCTGGTATATACCTGTGCATGATGTACTGGTTATTCCCACGTTTATTATTGTTATGACATACCATTGCTACGTTGTAATGACATTTTTCCACCCCTCAACATTGTATTTTTCATTGTTTTATCAAACATAAAAAGTTAATAAATATAAACAGATCATGTACCAGTGGCAGGTGTGGAGGTGGTCGACGTACTAGGCGCGGGGAGAGAGAACTTGACAAAGCTGTCTAGAAGCTTGCAGTTGGCTTTCAAACGTATGTGGCAGGTCTTTGCATACTTCCTCCTGTGAATGACAAAGGCATGGTTCTGGAATGTCCCACCGCCTGCGGTGATGAGGCACCTCGCATTCCCCGCTATCGTCTGTTGGAGAGAAGCAATGTAGCCAGGATTTTCTGTGCCCGCAACATCCTGAAACTTTGACTCCCACAGCGAGAATGAGCCCTGGCCCATTGTGTTTAGCAGTTCACTCAACTTCTCCTCCAAGGCCTGTCTGTCAACATAGTCGTGCAGCGTGAATCCCTTGGATCCAAACTTGCCGTAGTCCAGAGCAACAAAAGTATGGGTGATCCTAGTCGTGTGCTTCATGTATTCCCACTTCTTTATGAGGCTGGATAGACACCGAGAGACGAGACGCAGTTTGTTAGCTCTCTTGGAGGTGCTTACAAACACCTGCTCCACTCGCAGCATGACAGCAATGTACGTGTTATTGGAGACCCCTCCGAGGTAGCGAGAGATGTACAGATTGGCTTTAACAAAGAGCGCCTGGCTTGGCGATACGTGGAGCTCGTTAAACAGGGGTCCACCCGTGCTCTCCTTCTCACAGTGGGAATCGCTGATGCTGACTGTGTATTTCGTGACTTTCTTTCCAACTCCCAGCCACTTTCGGTAGATAAGTGTCACGTCTGTTGGCTCCAAGTCTCCATATATGCTGTGTTTGTAGCGCCAGAGCTCCAGCTGCCCTGTGTACTTGAAGTTGAAGCACACCTCGCGGACGACGTTGAAGCTGTGGAGCCTAAAGAACGGCGAGTACGCGTCTCTGAACGCGTCCAACGAGCAAGAGTCCTCCCACGTGTGCTGAACCAGTACTACGTTTCTTGGGGCGACGTCTAACAAGGCCTCCCAGGGAGCTAGAGGAGCGAAGCATTTCTTTTTGGAGAAAGCTTGCCACTTGTCCATGTTGTAGATGCTGCTCATACGGACGGCGTTGCGTTTCCAGGGCGTCTCGGCAGCGGGTTTACGGAGGTCTAGAGCGGCGCCGAAGGTAGACTGCACGATGAAAGGCTCCACCACGACGAGACTTGGGTCGATGGAGTAGGCGAGGCACTGGAGGCAGAAGAGATTCATGCCGCCACCAGTGAGCTGGTCGCTGTAGTCCAGGGCCATAACGAACCCCGCGCCGCTCAGGTTGCGTCCTTCTTCGTACAGTTGCTCGTTGGTGCAGGGATCGAGCGGGGAAGCGGTTTGGGCCGTTGTGTAGATGAGGAAGTAGGCGCAGGTGCCGCACAGTCCGAGCAAGAGGACGCCCAGGTAGTACGTCTGCATGGGAGAGTAGCAGAGACACCATAGTAGTTTCCTCAGTCGAGCCATGGCCGAGAACACGCCCCCTCTTTCAGGTCAGTGATGATGGTCCACTGTTTTCGCTTCTCTTACTTGTATTTTACCCATTATTTGGGCGAAAAAAGTGCAAGCACTATAACAACCAGCAGGAAGAAACTATTAGCACAAAAGGGTTAACTTTCTCGTTCCATTCCAGCGTTGCTTTGCCCACCCAGAGTCCAGTCCACCTTTGATGATTACGTCATTTCACACATGTCTGAGTCTGCAGAAAAGCCAGGGAAATGTTGTTCACAAACCAGACATCGAGGCGGCTGTAAAAACAGCTTAGTTATCTTTTCGCACAAGTTTTGTTCGACCTCCGTTCCTTCAAGACGGGGAGAGTTTATACAGATGCCGCCGCCGCCGTTCGTGGAGTACTTTGTGGTGTGCGGGCTGGGAGCCAAATCCCTGGACAAGGAAGCCTCGCCTTCGTCTGGTGAGACTTCTCACACTCTCACACACACGCTCAAAACACCTGCTGCTCTAACAAGAGCAGAAACGGTGTATATGCGGTGTTGGTTAGATCCGGTATAGTAGCTAGCAACTGTGTCTGGGTGGTTGTTGTCTGCATTTGTGTTGTATACTGACTGTCCCTCGTGCGTAAATAGGAAAAGCGAGAGAATTGGCTCAGCGGTGACTGTGTGCGGAACCCTATGGTCGAACTATGTACTAGTAGAACCCTGAACTGTGTGTGTGAGTGTGTGTGGGGGTTGTGTCTGGTGGATAAATGGCAGGTGAATGGAGCCTACATGGCTGCTTTGATTGCCCAGGTATGCATGTTGTGGCTGAAGGAAAGCTGGGCCACATATGTCCCTGGTAAAAGAAGACGCATATCAGCTGTTTGAAATTTATACCACAATCCAAAAATAATTACTCATCACCCCTGGTCCTATGTCCACAGCAAATTAGCATGATATGGCGGCAATTTTTGTGGCCAGGTGTTCCAGTAGGCTTCCGAATGACAGGGTTGCACAAATTGCACGCGTATGCTGTAATGTAACAAAATGTGATATCACTTCTCTGTCACAAGTATAAAATTTCACTTGGAGCAGGTGAAGTGAGAAAAATCCCCAAATAGGATGTGAAATTGGGAAGCATCCTGACTCATTATGTCCCATTCCAGTCAGGATATTGAAAGTGACTATTTCATTGGCCTCTGCAGTTTTGACAACAACGTGTAATCAGGAACTTCCTGTACAGTATGTTGCTTTCTTTACACAGGCACGCACTGGGCTGGAATTACTAGACATGCTGTAAAACAAGCGTACATGTTGTAGTTGGTGTACATTTGTAGATTCTGTACAGCAGTACATGTTTTACATGTTATCATGTACCCACTGTACATTTCTACATGTGTTATGTGTGTATACCTATGTTTGGTATGTACACAATCTTTATCCTCTCACCCTCTCTCTCCACACACAGCCCTCCATGGACACATCCCACCTCTATCAGGGACCTACACACCTTCAGTTCTTGCTCATTTCCCCAACTCCCGTCCCGACTGCCCATTTCACGTGACTGCCATTCAAACAGTAAGACCCTCTCAACTTGCTCTAAAATCAGTTGGCTAACTGCATATCTTGCGGCCAATGACCACCGTAGTTTGGTCAACATGTTGTGTCAAAACATAGCTCGCACACCTCATCACATACTTACACAGGCATTGAGGTGATCCAACCAAGTAGGGGAGTCAGTGTGTGACTATATACCACGTACATACTTGTAGCCAGCCCCCTATCTCATCTCCCTACAGCTCTGTCTCCCTGACGGAACACGGCTCTCCAAGAACCTAAAACAGACCCACAAGACCTTCCACTCCTTCCTCGTCACGCGGGAAGACGGCTCGCACATCCACGGCAGCGTCCTCGTCTTCCCGGAGCTCCTTACTGACCATAACCTGCTCAACTCGCTCGACTCGCTCCAGTCCCTGTACGTCGGGGTCCGGGGGTCGGGGTTCAACTCGGAGCACCAAGACTACTTCGACAGGCAGGAAGACGAGTTGTATGCTCTCAAGTGTGTGTGTCTGGTAACCTCGCGGCCCATCCACCAACCGTGCAGAGCGTTCCTCGAGCAGTTGTTTGCCGCGACTGCTGGGAGCCACACCGCCTCACTCCCCATCGAGAGCTACCTCTATAACCTTCTCTACGAGGTGACGCTCCCCGAACCCGGCAAATTCCTCCGGTTCTCTGGCCCCCTGGGGAGAATTTCGTGGTACCAGCCCCCCAGATTCGACCTCCCGCTGTGCGACTACTCGTTTCGAGGGTTGTTTGAGATGCTGGGAGTGCGTGAGGTGCTAAGGGCCCTGGCCTGCGTCCTGATGGAGCACCAGATCCTTCTCAAGTCATCTGGTGAGTGAGAGGAGAGACCATTGTTCTTGAAATTCAAATAGTTATGACAAATAGATGATAAATATGTGAAATTTGAGGAAAACTTCTCAGACAGGCCATTCTATCTTAAATTGTGGTCTATGTATAATGTTTTCTAGCTGTACAGTTGGCATGAAATAAGGAGGCAGAAAGAGAGGACAAAAGTGGGTTGCTAATAATTATGTGGCTACTGTTATTCCCGCACCTCAGACTACCAGAAGCTGATGCGGGGAGCCAACTGCCTGGCGGCCCTCCTGTTCCCGTTCTCCTGGCCGCACGTCTTCGTTCCCATCCTCCCCTCCTCCCAGAGAGGATTCCTCGACGCCCCGGTACCCTACATCATGGGTCTGAGGGTCCAACCTTCCACCAACACCTCCAAACTGCTCAGCATTGCCAATGTGGTAGGTCTTTCGTGGAATCTTCTGGAATCTCTCTATTGCTTATAAACAACTGTAGCCCTAGTTTGTGCATTTTCCATTTTGGCATGTTGGGGGGTATAGACTGGTGAGACAGGGGCAAAGACGAAGGTAACGAGCGAGACGGGGAAAAGTAAAGGCAAGATAGGATTTGAACTGCGTTTCTTCTTTTAACTTTTGCTGTACTTACCACATATTCTTCCTCCCCTCTCCCTCTTCTCTCTCCCTCTTCTCTCTTCTCCCCTCTCCCTCTTCTCTCTCCCCGCAGTCCTCACTGTGTTCCGTAGACCTAGATCGCGGTGTGGTTGAAACTGTAGACGGACTTCCAGACCTTCCCAACAGCGACTCTCTCGTCTCCCAACTCGCAGAGAAGGTCCACGAATTCTCCGTTAACTGCCCCGACGCCAGGGACCTCCCCCTCTCTCCCAGCAAGCCACGACGCACCTCCATGGTAACAATCACATGACAGGCACATGATAAACATGTAAATCTAGTTCCACCTCAATGTGGGGTGAGAGCTATTAGTGTGGAAGGTGGGAGGGTTGCACAGGAATGAGCCTCTGTGAGATGATGAAAGACTATTGGAATGTCCTCCAGTCTTGTTGACACAAGAGAAATGGTGATTGAACTTCAAACTGTCTATATACTTGTCTACCACTATAGATATAGCTATAGTAAAGCAACCATGCAGTATGACTGTGCTTCTTTTTTCATGCACTGTAGCGAACATCCTTATTGTCGGGAATGCACAACAGAGATCTGCACAACTTTTACTGTATTTCACCCTCTGTGTGTTAGTCGAGTACTGAGGAGGCAGGGGAGATCATGAAGGAGCTGTCCCGGACCGCCAGTAGCAGAGAGCAGCTCATATCTGAGCTGTCCACCAGGGTCAGAGACAACCCCCTCCTTCCTAACCTTCTCAACCTCGCCAGAATTGGAGGTCCGGAGAATGGTATGTTCATTGGAGGGGTAGGGGCTTGTATTGGGGTAGGTAAAGTGGTTTGTGAATGCATGTCTACTCTCACTGTATGAAAGAGTCTTGTCTATTTCACTTTCATTTAACCCTTTGACCACTGCATGTTCCTAGATAAACACTATAGCTATTGTTGGTGGGCACGCTCTGTTAGCAAGATGAGTGGTTACTGGTAGTAGGGTTTGTTTTGTTATGTGCATTATGGACATGTCAATCTTGCATTAGGAGCATGTGAGGTTTGCAGTGCCAGCCTGTCAATTTACTATGGTGTTGTAACTCATGCAATTATGAGTCAGCGTAATTGATAGTTTCACAACTGTCAGCGTTGTATGGCTGTTTACTGTCACCTCTCACTCCCTCCCCCCTCCCTATACCCTCCTAAGGCACCCTCACCACCACAGACCTCGCTGAACTGGTAGCTGAAGAAGAAGAAGATGATGAAGATGAAGAATCAGAGAAGAACCGATGGGACTTTGCCCCCAATCGTAAAGACCAGCGATTCTCGGTCGCCGTTCGCGAAGTCTTCTGCTCCTATTTCGTCCAACATTTTGCCAACTACGACACATTCATCGTGGTGCCTACGCAGACCTACGAACAGTGGATCAAGAACCGCGAACAGTTCCAGAACTTCGACAAGACGGCCTTTCTCTCCGACCAGCCCAACCACCACTGGCCGTTCTACGCGGCCTTCCTCGAGAGCAGTATGTTCACCACCTTCATCGACGAGAAGGTGACCTCCATGTGGCACCCGGAGAAGGCCAGCCAGCAACTAGCGCTGTTCGACTCTCGTGTGGAGGCCTTCCGAGACAAGACCGGGCTCGGGAAATCCCCCACCACTCCGGGACTCGGCTCTCGGAGTTCTAGTAAGAGCACACCATGCACTGCTGGGTGCATTTGAGCCTAATGTTGTTTTGTGTCCCTCCTCCATATTGTGGGCTTCTGACATTTTACACATTTTTGATGGGGAAACAATGTACAATTTTTTCCTCTCAAAATTATTTTTTCCACTTCTGCTGTGTGCAGGTGTTATGTCAGCAGGCGGACTAGGGGCCTACCTCCATCACCTCCACCAGTCAGAGGAAGGAGGAGAGGAGGAGGAGGGGGACACGGACGACGTCACCAACAATGACGTAATCACCGAATCCATGCCTCTCCCCCGGCAGCTGCCCGGAGAGAGCCAGTCAGTCCTCGTTGCCATGAGAACCAAGACGAGACGAGCAGGGGTTTTCCCCGAGCTTGACCCAGTACTTCTTCTCCAGGTATTATATAACTCGCTACAATGAATGGGTGATTGAGATTGTACACACCTCCCCAAATAAAGCACACCTCAGTTTCAATGTTCCCAATATGTGGTATATACGTCCCTTATTCTGAGGTTTCTGTCTACTGCAGAGGTTTTGCATTTTTTCAAGCTCTTCTCATTCACTATATATATTGTGTCTCTCTCCAGCCGAAACTGCTGAGTCCATTGTCAAAGGTGGGAGGTCACCTACCATCCCATCACACCTCTCTCTCCCGGCCACGCCCTGCTTCTGCCGGGCGTGCCCCTCGCTCCCTTCACGTCTCCGCCTCTGCCACACCCGTAAGACTGGTGGCTTCTGTAGGGATTACGTAATGGTGACATCATCCTTGTTGTTTCCTGTTCAGAACCTGTTTCCACGACGAGCGAAGGGGCGGGCCAGAGGAAGCACGGATCTGGTGGGTGGGGCAGGGGGCGGAGTTTCGGCTGGGTTCTCATCTCACAGTCATGCAAAATTTGTCAGTCAACTAATGAGAGAGAGCAGGTTCAGGGTGAGTAAGAGGGGAGAGAGGGAGGAAGAGAGGGAGGGGGAAGGAAGGACGGGAGGATTATTGCCTGGAGTGTGCAGTTGGTTTTTGACCATAGTGATGGGAATACATGTGTCTTGAACTGACTTTGTGATTTGGGCAATACTGCAGAGACGTAAACACCAAATTGATACCGACCAACAGTTTTGTTGGGCACTTACACACTACTACCACATAAATTTTGATCCAATTTCCTCCTGTCCACTGTTGATTTGTTTTTTCCTGTCCCTCTCTCTCTCTCTCTCTCTCTCTCCGGTGTGGTGGCTGCAGGTGAAGCACATGATGGGCAGTTCTCCAGACAGCCACAGTTCAGTGGAGGAGAACACCCACATCGGGACACTCTGCGACCTCCTGGAGAGGATCTGGGGCCATGGACTCAAGAAGAGAGATGTGAGTCTCTCCCTCTGTTTCCCAGGGGGGGGAGGGGACTCCGGGTGTTAATTCTGGGGGCCAAACTCCGGGGGGTTATGCTGAGGACCTCCAAGGGTAAATTCTGGGGATTTTTGGGGCACTGGTGGTTACATAATTCTAGGACCGGGAGTTTAGGCACCATCTGTATACTGTACTTGGTACACTATATACTACATTAGTATAATATAGACCTCCAATCTGTATGTAATAGGGCTATTTGTGTGCACTAAAATGATGACGTAATCTCCCATGTACCACAGAGTAAGAGTCCACTTTGGGCCCACCTCACAGCGTATGCTGAGTCGGCAGAGACGGATGAGGGCGTGGCAAGTCCTCCGCCCTCTTCTCCTCCTTCTCCTCCCCTCCTCTCTTCCTCCATGTCGTCCCTCTCCATGTTCACCACTTCCTCATCCTCATCTTCCCCATCTGGTATATATACTCCAGCTACTTATATATGTGGTCTATTGTTAGCAGTGAACAGATACGCTTGCCTAATGTGTAGATAACTTTGTTTTCAAAAGTTGTACTGAACTGCGCAAAAACACAATGCAGTGTACAAAAGGTAACATTTCTACAATATGATGAGTTCACACTGAATATATGTACTTAAGAAGTGAGCTGACATTCAGAATGTCTCATCAAATCGTCACTTTAGTGTGCCAAATTTCGACTCACACACTGTAGTGGGGAATGCAGTAGAGCATTATTCCCAGCATCTGACTCTCTCCTTCGGTCGTGTGTGTGACTCCTCCATCTCCTCCATCTCCTCCTCTGCAGGGGAGGGCTCGTCCCGCTCAGGCCGTGGTCTCAGCACCCAGTTCAGACGGAGGAAATTTGGGTCCCCTGCCTTGCGGTCCCAGATTGAGGGCATTCTCCGGCCTCCTCCCTCCTTCCTCCTCTCAGACTTTCTGTGAGTCAGTCACGATTCCCCCCGTTTTTCATCTCATTCCTGAGAGTTTTGTGTAAATTAAAATTCATGTTTTGGTAGAGATGGAGTTGAGTGGGGGTGAGTTCCCCACATTGGTCCATTGTGCAACTGATCAAGAAATGGGAATAGTTGTTTGTGTGTCTAGATATGGGAATAGTGAAAGTAAACTGCTAACACCACGTCAGAAAAACTCCGTAGGAAGGTCAATAAATGGCTACGTGAAAGTATTCATGTGTGTTCAGAGTGTCGTTACTCTCCCCATCTCTCTCAGGATTGTTAGGAACATGCGTGAGATCAAGACAGACGTCGGCCACGCACGAGCGTTTGTGAGACTGGCGCTGGAGAAACGGAGCCTCTCTCGTCACCTGGCGACCCTCCTGTCACTTGACGACCTCACCAGACTGAGGTACAAGGAGTACGCCTTCCTACGGACGGACGAGGAGAGAGAGCAGTTTCTCTTCCACCTCCTCACACTCACCGCCAAGGACTTCTCCTGTTTCACCAATGCCTTCCTGAACACCAGTACGTTCTACCTCTGCTGGCAGGGGTTAATTGGTGGTCACGTGACCTTCAACCAATCAGATCCTTTAGTTTTGTCACATGCACACTGATTTCACAGAGGAAACAGACTTTGTGTGTGAAGTCTTTGTAAAGAAGGGAGATGCCTTCTATCAAGTTGCCTCCAACTGTCTTGTTGTATGTTGTTGTAATTATGCTGAGACAAGCCTGCCATCTAATTCCCCTCTCTCCCTCTACTCCAGCCATGGTGTACAAGGTTCTGTTGGTGGGCGAAGGGAAGAGGTTTGGTCTCAGCACATCGTCTCCGTATGTGACCGTGGCTGGGGAGTTTGGGGACTCGGGGACAGTGGAGATACCTCGCGGGGAGAACCACATCGACCTCACCGTACGTGTCCCTCTCCACACTGACTGACTGACCACCTATCTACCTACTAGGCTTCAGAAACGAAATGTTTTAGAAGAAATCTTACGATGTTCAGTAAAAGTAGCGTACATTTGCTTACCGTATGCTCAACTCAACTAGACTGAAGCAAAACCCTTTAGTCCTCTACTGACACTTTACTCTAAATTCTTCTCTCTCTCTCCTCTGCTCCCTACCACTACCGCTACTGACACTTTACTCTAAATTCTTCTCTCTCTCTTTCCTCTGCTCAGCATCGTAACCTTGGTCCCCTGACATGTCTGAGAGTGGGTCACGATAACTCTGGCATTGCTCCCAGTCTGCTGCTGGAGATGGTCCTGGTCCACAACACCACCACTGGCCAGATATATCGGTGAGAGAGAGAGAGAGAGAAAGAGAGAGAGAGAAGATAGAACAGATGTGATTCATTTATTGGCGGGCAAATGCATGTGCGAAATGTCGGCATTACATAGAGTGTCATAGTATGGACACTGCTGTGTCGGCATCACATAGAGTGTGATAGTATGGACACTGCTGTGTCGGCATTACATAGAGTGTCATAGTGTAGACACTGCTGTGTAGACACTGCTGCTGTGTACATGCAAACATAGACATACGGAGAAATTCCTACGACTAAGTGGGGCTCGCTTCACTCTCCAACATGATATGACACTAGCAGATTCGGTCAGAATCTTGAAATTTTATGAGTTGATTTCTTCCCCAAGGTTCAACTGTGGAGGGTGGCTGAGTCGGTCGGAGGATGACGGGAGTGTGGAGAGATTCCTGGTGGGAGAGAAGGTCCCCCTGACCTACCGTAACTCTGTCAACATGGCCGCCCTCGGGGTGGACGGCGTTCTTCCCTCTCCTGGCAACCGGAGACGAGCCCTCACCTCTACCAGGAGGGAGGGAGAGAATGGTGAGAGGGAGAGAGGGAGAGAATGGTGAGAGGGAGAGAATGGTGAGAGGGAGAGAATGGTGAGAGGGAGAAGATGGAATGCACAGGACAAGACAGAAAGAGAAAGAACCATCTTCTGTCAGGAGTTGGACTCATGGGGTCGGAGTCCAGTGTGCAACTCTGCCACCATTCCACTCCTGACAAAAGTTGTTTCTTTCTCTCTTTCCTTTCTAGCCTACGTATGTATTTCTTTAGTCACCCATTTACCGGGAATATCTCCAAGAGATGTAGGTTTTGGTTTCATTCTGCAGTCGGAGAGACACGGCAGCTGAAAACTGGTCTGAAGGTGGTGGTTGAGAGGTTAAAGACTGCCACGCAGAGCCGGAGCTCCCAGAATAGGGTGAGTAGAGGGTTAAACTTCTTAATATTGGCAGATTAATGATCTCTCTCTCTCGTCGCAGGTTCAGGACATGTTGCAGCTCATTCATGGAGAGAATGGCTATATTGATAACATGGAGAAGGTCAGTGGCAATATAGACTTTCCCAAGGTGTATACATACAAATAATCTTTAGAAGGCACTTTAAAATGTCTTAATGTGAAAGCCTTGCATAAATGGTTCAGTTAACTTATCAAGACATTGTAACAACAATCAGAACACCCCACTAAACCACCTCCTCCTCCTCTATGCAGGTCCTGTTGGCAGGGTTCAGATCCAGCCGTAAGTTCAGCAAGAGACTGTACCTGTGGGACATGGTGGAGAGAGCCTGTGAGCACATGGAGTCAATGGAGACACCCACGCCACTGGTCCACACCGCCCCCCACCCGGCCTCCCTCGACAGACAGGTCCTCGGGAACACCGTCGACAGAATCAACTCAAACTATCCTCAGATCGGCAAGAGTGAAAAGGTAAGGCACCCAGGGTGCACACATTACCTTATATAGACAGACACACTGATGTATACACGGCTGTATGTTGCATATGGCATCAAAACTTTGCAGAGCTGAGAAATATTTCACGGCTACGGCTCTAAAATTTACATATTTCTCTCTGTCTGTAGATGGCTCTGTTCCTGAGTATTGGTCTGAGGGACCATCACATAGCAACATGGCTGTCCCTCATCGGCCACTGCTCGCCAGTCCTCTCTGCTCTCTACGAACACTCGGCCTTCCTCCGCGACCCAGACCTCCTCCACTTCCTCATCTACACCCTCTCCTCCCTCTCTCCCCCCTCCCACTCCCCCACACTCTCCCTCTCGCTTTCTCCTCCTCCTCCCTCCACCGCCGTCCGATTGGAGCCCCTCCTCACACGGGGCATGTGACCACACACCCATAATCATGTGAATGTGTATCAAAATCATGTGACTTGTTTCAACTTCCCTCTCGTATCGTATTGTGTGATGAAATTATGAATAAACACACATATCATGATCATAATTATGATGTAAAATTAAGTTTATGGAACCTCCGTGAGACACTAAAATAATGAAGTAAGAGAGGAGAGAGAAAAAGAGAGGGGAGTGGCATTTCTGCCACCACACACAATAATAACCCATGAAAGAGAAATGAAGCAGATTTGCATGAGTTCTGATTGTCTGTCTCCACAATTTGTCACCATTTCCCCCTGCGACTCCAATCTTTTGGAGTCCACTTGATACACTTTGGGTCTATTCTGATCTTCCGTTTGGTGATGGCTTTCTGGTGTTTCTGGATGGCTTCGTCGGAGAGACAGATGACGTACTGCCCCCTGTAGTACTGGACTAGGTTCAGGTACTGTAGTGTGGACACCGCGTCCTCCTTACGGATACTGGTCTGCTCACATATCTCACTGCAGAGAGGGAGAGGGAGGAGAGAGAGGGAGGGAGGGAAGGAGGGAGGGAGAGGTCTAAAACCAAAGCGCATGATTAATGGAACAATGGACACCAGTACAGGTTGGACTGACTTGATGGTTACGGTGGGTGGAGAGTCGTCCTGCGTTCGGTCAAAGTTGACGATCAGCTCCAGGATGGTGGCGGCCCAGTAGCTGCGATAGGAGAGGAGGCCCAGGTCTGACAGCGGTTTCTCCGGAGACCCGGTCTTGTTCTCTATCTTGGACAGCTCGTAACCTAGCACAATACACGAGAGATCAGATCATGTGCATACTCTCTTCTCACATTCTTCATAGCTTTAACCCCTGCTACATTCTTAGACATTTTATCACTTGGAGGCCCTTGAAACCAAATTGTGCAGGCAAAGATGGACACACACACATGTAAACACACGATGGAGTGAGAAAGTTGACTCACTAAACTCGATGAGGACTTTCCCGTAGCCCATTCTCTGGTAGGGAGGCAGTGTCAGGATACATGCCACATTGTAGTCCTCACTGCTCTCCTTCTCCTGAGGAGAGAGAGGAGAAAAGAAGTTTGCAAGAAAGAACTTTGGGAACTTTGACAATTCACTAAACAATACTTGGTGGTTGAATGTTTGGATAAACATTTTGGTCGTTTTAGTTTCATTGTATTATATGAGGTTCCGGTGACTACCTTGGAGAAGTAGCCGATGATGTGGAAGCCGTAGGAGTCGTACTCGGTCATGATGTAGAAGAGGAAGGGGTCAGTGTCGTAGTAGAGGGTCTTGTGATCCAGGAACAGTTTGGCCAACAGGCAGAGGTTCTGAGCATACGGCTGTGGGAGAGGGGGGAGGAGTATGTGTGTGTGTGTGCACGTGTGTGGGGGGGAGGAGGTGGGGGGGAGGTGGTAATAGTGAGAGAGAAAAGGTAGACCAGTGGTGTTACAGCTATAAAACACACTTTGTTTTTCCGTCCGTCGATCTCGAAAAAGGAAATGTTGTCCTTCCTATAGATCTCGTTCCCCGGAGGGTGATGGATGGTGCACTTGGTCTTATGTCTCTGCAGACATTTCAGACTCTTCAAGTACTTGAGGCAGAACTCGCAGATGTAGACCACTGGCTCCGTGGTCAGTTCCTGGGGGTACGGTGAGAAATACCAGGGTTTGATCCGGAAGCGGCCCAGTTCGATCTGCTCTATGTTCTTCATGCGGGTGATGGCGTCGTCTTGGTGGGGGTGGTGGCTCATGCCTCCCGAGGACGTCCTGGGTTGCTGGGTGGGGGGCGTGGCACCGCTCGGACTGCAGAGTGGGTCCTGGGAGAAATGGAGGTAAGGAGAGATGGAGAGAGTGAAGGAAGAGATGTTGGGGATATGTAATTGAACCTCAATCCCAGCTCCGTTGGCCTTCCTTTTGCGGTTTGAGCTGAGGATTGATTTCTTGGAGTCAAGTTGCTGGACGTCAGGAGAGGCAGCTCGCGATGTCTGGCGTGAGAGACCGGCCTTTGACTCCTTACGAGGCAGTCGCACCTTCTCCAGGTCCAGACTGTCTTCTGACACCCACTCATCCAGTCTCTTGTTGACTATATTATATTGGGGAGAGTGGGGGCTGTATGTCTCATAACAAAAGTATAAGTAAAGTACACGGTATATACCTGTATAAACAGAGGGAGTTAGAGTGTGCAAGTAGGAGTGAGGAAGTAATGGAAGAAATTGAACTGTTAGAGTATTGGCTAGACACATCAACTCGAACAACCACTGCCTATTTCGTCATACTTAACCAACAACCACAACCTTTTTCCAGGTGGGCACTATTTAGAACTCACAGTTGGAAAATAGTTTCGGGGCAAATTATTTTCAAGTATACTTACAGCTCAGGTAGTGGACGTAGAACTCCCATTTATATCCATTCTTTCTCTTGCTAATGACCTCTGCAATGTCTGCACAAAGAAACATGGGATGATGTCATAGTGATGTAATTGGTATTTTTACTTACTCCAGTCGTCCACGGGACAGGTATCCACACCAGACGACATACGAACTGGTACGTGACAGCCTTCGAACACGCACTCCTGTGAAAAATAGTCACAAACCATAAACCCGGTAGAAGTACTTTTCCAATACGTTCCAATGCACTTTTGACCGGTACAGAGGCAGTACAACGGTATACAGCATATATAAATCGGATCTTTACACTCACAATAGCTATGGCTGGGGAAGAAGACGCTTCTTTCGGAGACGTTTCTCTGGCCGCCATTTTGAAACGGGTGTGCTTTGGCCACGCCCACTGGCGGCTTGGGGTCAGAGTTCATCTCGGCTACACGTGCGGAAAATGGCTACCGCAGGGCCAGGAGACGCGGGGCTCAGTGGGGGAGAGGCGGAGATGGTGGAGGAGACGGAAGACGGCGAAGAACACCCCAGCTTCGCGAAGGTTCAGAGGAAGCGGAAGAGAAAGCTAAAAAGCCTGGAAATGGAGGTGGACAGTGAAAGTACAGCTGCCAAGAGACCTTCTTTCCCGCCAGTGGGGGCCTCCGTCACTCCGGTACGTCACCAGTGAGAAGAGAATGCCTTGAGCATGTGCTTCTCTGGTTACGAGTCTGTCATTTCAACTTCGTATTTTTTAGCCAAGCGTTTTTGGGTGGTTTTTGGAAGCAGATTATTTACTGAATGTTCTCTCTTTGGTCCCTCTGCCTGTTCAGGGAGGTCACGGGGAGTTCCGCAGGGTCCCCGTTCCCCCACATCGGTTCAGCCCACTCAAGGAACACTGGATGAAGATATTCACTCCAATTGTAGAGCACCTCAAGCTCCAGATCAGACTCAATCTGAAGAAGAGACATGTGGAACTACGGGTGGGTGGGCGGGGCTAAATATTACGTCATAGTGATGTCATTGATTCTGCAGAGTTCGAAGTTCACTAAGGATCCAGGTGCCATTCAGAAGGCGGCTGACTTTGTGCAGGCATTTATGCTTGGTTTCAGTGTTGAGGTGTGTGCAGTACATTCTGGAAGACAAATGTGGGAAGTAACACGTGACCTTTGTCCCATAGCATGCCTACGTAGTATGTAGTAATTCCTTACTGCCACATTATGAGCATTGAAGAGGGCTATTGGAATGATGTTAGTGGATGGCAGTTGTTGGAGGGGGAGGAGAGGTGAGAGGAGAGGTGCATGGTTTACCTTCTGGAGAATGTTTGTGGGCTAATTACTAATTACTTCCCTCCCCCAACCAGTACCCCTGACAAATCATCTGCCCTCATTTGCTGTAAGCATATGTTCCACCCAGCCACACCCTCCCTCCTCCTCCCCCTCTCCCTCACTCAGGATGCTCTGGCTCTAGTGAGACTGGACGATCTGTTTGTCGACTCCTTTGAAATAACTGACGGTGAGATATAGACAACAACAATGGACGTTCATTGCTTCCATTTTTCTGTGCCAGTCCATTTTAATGTACTTCAAGAGGTTGCTCTTTGGTTTTGGTGTGGCACAAACTTACCCTCCCCTCCCCACCACCCCTCTCCCTTTCCTCTACCTCCCAGTGAAGCCACTGAAGGGAGACCACCTGTCCAGAGCCATTGGCAGAGTCTCTGGAACCGGAGGAAAGACAAAGTTCACTATTGAGAATGTCACAAAAACCAGAATAGTTCTTGCTGACCGGTGAGCTAGTATAAGATGCAGACCGATATCGGCTATTTATGATAATACCATTACATCACTATTACATCACTGATGTTACGTCACAATAGTCCAGGAACCTTAGTCAGGTCTTGCCTTTCATGTGTAAGGAAAGTGCTGTCTACTGTGCTTGGCAGAGGTCAGTCTTCACAAAGGCAGGTTTGTGGGTATGTTTAAAGGTGTTAACAAGAAGTGGATGTTGCAATGTGTTAATTAAACCCTTTGGGCGCCATATAGGTTCTTATGCGCTTATGGAGGCTCTGTGCATATATTATATATGTAAATGACGCCCAAGAAGTGGATGTTGCAATGTGTTAACACTTTCGGTGCCATAGGTTCTTATGCACTTATGGAGGCTCTGTTCATACTATATATATGTAAATGATGCCCAAAGGGAAGAAGTGGATGTTGCAATGTGTTAACAAGAAGTGTGCTTCCACATGGAGAGGATGTTTGTCAGTGTTGGTGGGGGGGTGGATGACATACAGGAGAGGTGACACGAGTACCTGATCTGTTGGGGGTGGGATCTTTCCGAAATTGAGGCATCTCAGTGTTCTGCACCATGTGAACAGCGAGGTCACAAGCAAAGGGAAGCTATACCAGGACCACTTTCTCCCCATGGAAACAAGAGTTGCCCTGGGTGGGATTAAAACACTACACACTCTATATATAGTCTAGCTTTTCTTTTCTAGTTTGACTGTGGCTCTATAGTGTTGACCTCTGACCTCACCAACTGGCCTAGTGGACTGGAGTCCCATTTATATATATGGACTCTGCCAAATCACTCTGTACTAAGAGTGGCTGCGGTCTGACCTCGAGCAGTGCATGAGAGTTGCACCAGCTGGTTGACCTGGATACTGTTAGGCTGCAGCATACTTGTGGTGGCGAGGACAGTAATTGAATTAACGAGTGCCTCATCCAGCTATTTCTCCTCTGTCGTAGCGGTGGTGCTAATTGTATTCACGGCCCCAAGAGGAGGGGGTCGTGTGATTGGATGACGATGAAATCTTAGTAAAACTGTCTCCAGGGCGACGGTGAAACCATTTGAGTCGTGCGAGTCGAAGCTGAAGCCTTTGTTCCGGGGTTGATTTCCTTCTGCCTGAAATGGAAAGGCATTTCAAACCCAATCCTTTCACGTGCCAATAATCATGTTAACATACAAAACAAACTGAAGACGCTCGCCTACCATGGACTCTATTGCGTAATCTCATAAACACCTTATGTGATGCAGTTTCACCTCGGTTAGTGGCCTATTGAATAACCTTTTCTTTACGCACATGCAAACGCACACACCATCACACACCCATCGCTATACTGCCATGAGATGCCGTCTGTACATAATGTCAATGATGAGTGTGGAGAAAAGGCTTCACACTGCACTGCTGGTCTTCTCTTACATCAGTCGACCTGATGTGGATTCTAGCCGCGGTTGGACGAAATTTTAGTCGCCTCACCCCCTAATTAAATTAGTAGGAGTCTCTCCTTTCTCCCCATCGCTTCCGTTGCACCTCACCTCCCCCCCCTCTCCTCACCTTCTTGTATTTCCATCTCCCTGACCTCTCTTTTATTCCCTTCCCCATCACTGCCACATCTCTCTCCTCTCTTGGTTGGAACATCTTCAAGTAACTAAGCTTCTTTTCCTTCGACATAACACTTAACACCGTGTATTTCTCATAAAGGAAGAAACTTTTGAAAGCGTCACTCCTTGAAGTGTACCAAATGCTGAGTGGTTTAATTTGGGGAGACACTGATTCACAACGTGAAGGTGAGGCTTTTAGTTAAGTGGAGAGGGAGAAGGACTGTTTGTGTGTGAGAAATCCTACAACACACTCCCAGAGTTTCACCAAAAGATTGTCAGACACACTTTGTTTTCTTTGACTGTGGCAGGTCTTCAAACACTCCCTCTCCTCCGGTATATACTCATCTGTTGCAGCTGCCACTTCCCGTGCACGGAGAGAGACGGCAATGGGAGAGAGTCTACGGTGTTTGCACACCTGTTCACGGAGAGAGACGGCAATGGGAGAGAGTCTACGGTGTTTGCACACCTGTTCACGGAGAGAGACGGCAATGGGAGAGAGTCTACGGTGTTGCACACCTGTTCACGGAGAGACGGCAATGGGAGAGAGTCTACGGTGTTTGCACACCTGTTCACGGAGAGAGACGGCAATGGGAGAGAGTCTACGGTGTTTGCACACCTGTTCACGGAGAGAGACGGCAATGGGAGAGAGTCTACGGTGTTTGCACACCTGTTCACGGAGAGATGACGGCAATGGGATGAGAGTCTACGGTGTTTGCCACACCTGTTCACGGAGAGAGACGGCAATGGGAGAGAGTCTACGGTGTTTGCACACCTGTTCACGGAGAGAGACGGCAATGGGAGAGAGTCTACGGTGTTTGCCCACCTGTTCACGGAGAGAGACGGCAATGGGAGAGAGTCTACGGTGTTTGCACACCTGTTCACGGAGAGAGACGGCAATGGGAGAGAGTCTACGGTGTTTGCCCACCTGTTCACGGAGAGAGACGGCAATGGGAGAGAGTCTACGGTGTTTGCACACCTGTTCACGGAGAGAGACGGCAATGGGAGAGAGTCTACGGTGTTTGCACACCTGTTCACGGAGAGAGACGGCAATGGGAGAGAGTCTACGGTGTTTGCACACCTGTTCACGGAGAGAGACGGCAATGGGAGAGAGTCTACGGTGTTTGCACACCTGTTCACGGAGAGAGACGGCAATGGGAGAGAGTCTACGGTGTTTGCACACCTGTTCACGGAGAGAGACGGCAATGGGAGAGAGTCTACGGTGTTTGCACACCTGTTCACGGAGAGAGACGGCAATGGGAGAGAGTCTACGGTGTTTGCACACCTGTTCACGGAGAGAGACGGCAATGGGAGAGAGTCTACGGTGTTTGCACACCTGTTCACGGAGAGAGACGGCAATGGGAGAGAGTCTACGGTGTTTGCACACCTGTTCACGGAGAGAGACGGCAATGGGAGAGAGTCTACGGTGTTTGCCCACCTGTTCATATGGATCTCCCTCAGTTTATGCAACACAAAGAAAGTTTATCTACTCTCCATGCACCCCTCCTGTGGTGTGTGAATACAAGCGTATGTTTGGCTTTGAGAGCACACAGACTAATCCAATGTTTGTTTTATCGCACTTGGAGTAGCAAAACTAGATGTATAATTATACATACGTACACGGTCGCCGTGGGAGCCTTTCAAGGTGTATGTTTCAGTGTGTCGGTCCAACATATACTGAATCATTTGTACATGTTTGTACCACATCTCCATTACTATGGAGCGGGATGTGCACTTCTGACAAGAGGACAAGTAGATTTACAGCAGAACCAACCTCTCTCCAAAGACACCCCTGATATGAGGAGGACTCTAATAATAGGGGGCACCTTTTCTTTCCCCGAGAACCGTTATTGCACATTAACAGGACACCTCACTAGTACGAACACTTCTTCTGTCTCACTGGTGTCCGGAATTTAGGGGCCTGCTATAATTATGCTGATGAAGATCCTTAACTTGAAAAAGCTGACGGATTTTCCTATAGATTTGTAGTCTAGTACTAACTCTTCACTGCACTCCAGTCACAATACCTGGGTTGACTCCCGGCATAATCCCCACTTTGTATCACCAAACCAATGTTCCCCTCTCACTCCGTCTCCCTCCAAACTAGGCAACTGCAGGTGTAATGCATGTCGTGTCATCCTCAGTTCTTGGAGTGTGCGTTGTGTTGGGAGAGTGCTGAGCTGTGCCTGAACCAATGTGTTTACGCTGGATTCAGCCACTGTTGGTTGCCCAATCCCTGTAGTAATGGCTAGCTACTGTAGCTAGCTGGTAGTAATGCGTGTCTTAGGACAACACTGCTGGACACCACTCTGATCTGGACACCACTCTGATTAGGACACCTATGGTCAAGGCAGAGAGGGCTCTGTTCCAGGCCTGCTCCAGACAGAGAGGGCCTGCTCCAGACAAAGAGGGCCTGCTCCAGACAGAGAGGGCCTGCTCCAGGCAGAGAGGGCCTGCTCCAGGCAGAGAGGGCTCTGCTCCAGACAGAGAGGGCTCTGCTCCAGACAGAGAGGGCCTGCTCCAGACAGAGAGGGCTCTGCTCCAGACTAAGGACCTTCCCTCTCCTAGAGGAATGTCCATTCCTAACGTTCCCAGCAGTGTGTTGGGTTTTGTTTGCAAACCTGCCGTAATTAGTTAACTCCCTCTCCTCACCTCTTCTCCCACTCAGCTCTTCAATATTGTCACCTTCACTGCTGTTAGCCCATCTTCATTACCACAATACTCTCCCTAATTGCTTCTCTATTGCTTGTTGATCATGTTGTCCTTTGGTGCCATTTAGTTGTTCTGTGTAACACCATCGACCCTTTCACTGCCACTTATCTCTCTTTCTCCTCTCCTCCTCACTTTCTCCTCCTCTCCCCCTCTCCCCCTCTCCCCCTCTCCCCTCACAGTAAGATCCACATACTTGGCTCCTACCAAAACATAAGACTTGCACGGAACGCCATATGCAGTCTCATCATGGGTGAGTAACCATTACATCATCATTACATCATCTCTGTATCGGACAGGAGGAGGAGGAGGGAGGGAAGTGTTATGGAATACGATTGTAGCAACTATATCCTGTTGCACACCCTCCATGCAGGGAAATATTTGATTATGTCAATTCACTAACAGATTATGTACATATTATACCTCCATAATTATTATAATTCCCAATGGGGGGACTGTTATAATTACACAGCCTCCGTATCGGTGTAACTCTATAGCTGGTAGCTCGGGATGAGTGTATGCATATGTTGCCCTTATCCAGAGAGTATAATATAGTGGGCTTTAACCAGACATGGTATAAGATGCTCGATTGCGTAACTGTGTGTCTAGTGAGTATTGGATATGAGCCAGCCAGCTGCAACCTTACCCGCCAGGTCCCATGGCAATGTACATGCTCTACTAACAGAAAACAGCTGACTATAACATATTTGTGGTCACCGGTGTCCATTTATTCGGCCCTTACGTCTCATTATAATACATAATGTATATCAGAAATGCCTACACATTGAATCCTACAAGTACAGCTTATGAATACCTTATCAATATATACATACCTACGTAATATGTATATGTAGACCCTCATAGATTCCTACATTACTTTTCAAATTTTAACCCTTTTCTCCCCCTTTACCTTGACATACTGAAAGCACAACAAACTGCAGATGTGCTACCATGACACATGCCAATCATTCCTGGTGTTTATTATTGCCCCTGACATGTGGTGAGGTGTTTGATGGGCCAATCATCAGAGTGCCGTAAGCCAGGATCTCAGGATGTTTATCATTTTAACCCCTGCCACTGTTAGTCAGATTATGGAGATATTGCATGGCTGGGCTGTGGAAGAAGGCCATGTATGGAGCCTGCCAGCTCACATGTCCAGCTTGCCTCACTTCCTGCCAGTTATCCACACATGTGATTCCTGTCACTCTTGTATATACATATTTACAGTGACTGGAGGGTTTATCTGCTTCCCCAGTAGCCCAATATCCTGTTTTCTTCTCTCCTTCAGTTGGTCGGTTAATTGATGAGTGGGTGGACACATGTAAGAGGTCTGTTTAACCGCCTCGCTCTCTCTCTTGGTGTTTCCACGACGTAATACCAGCTGCTCGTGTTTCTTTAGTTTGTCTATGAAAATCACAAAAACTGACCAAAGGTGCATAATTATAGCTCCATTACCATTGGCATTACGTCATAATGATGTAATATCTAAATCTGGAAAGGAGTGAATCCTGTGCGTCCTGGCACTCCCTTCCTGGGGAGGCCTCCCAGTGGTAGTAAAGGGACTTCTTAGAGTGGCCCAATGGAGGACTTCCTGTCTCCTCTCCCCTCTGTGGAAACTGAAAGAGAGAAGAGGAAGTGGGACAATGGTGTGTGGTTCACTCCTCTCTTCTTGTGGAGTAAAGCTGAGGCTCCTCTTTCCTCCCCATGCATCATTCAGGAGTTTGTTATAGCCAAGCGCATAGAGAGAGAATGAACCTGAGTAGGTGACTGCCTGTAGAGGCCTCCTCCGTTCACCACTTTAATCTTACCGACCTCTCGTCCACTAGTCTCGCTATCTTGTCCACTAACCTGTGTCCACTTTTTCTTTCCCTCTCCCTACCCCACTTCCTTATCCTCACCTCCCCCCATAAAAGGACTCCCTCCTACCCCTCACTCAAATCCGTGACCTGATTAGAGAGTTTCCTTGATCCAGGGAGTCACAAAGCCATGTTTTCCAGGGAGTCTGTAAAGCCATGTTTTCCAGGGACTAATTAGTTCCAGGGAAGCAATTAGTCCCTCATTCCTTTTAGGACCCTTGTGTGTGGACCTATATTGTGGGGGGTGGTCCTCCATTAGCGGGTGTATTGACAACTAGTATTTCTTTAGTAAGTACTGCATTCGGAACGTCCTTTTATTTTCAGTCAATACACACACACACTGCTAGTGTGTTTGACTCATTTCACAGTAGCTATACCTCAGACGATATTTTTGTTGTTGGTTTGGTGAGGTGATGTGGTGAGGGTAGAATGACCTTTGATGTCGACAGAAGTGCATTCTCAGCAGAACGTGATACAGGGGCTCGCGGTATCAATGTGGTGTGTATTCACTTCATGACTAGCTGTGTACTGGCTGGGAAGCAATTCAGAGAGGGAGGAAGAGAGAGGAATGTGTGGTTCTTCCACCAATCATACCAACCATGTCTCCATGATTGTGTGAGTGAGTGTGTGTGTGAGAGAGTGTCCAAGTGGCAGTCGAGGATTCCTTGCGGTGTCCACATGCCAGGACTGAAGTGCCAACTATCGCGATGCAGCTGGACTAGCACCTCTACCTGCCAGCCAATGGCGGAGGTTGGCTCACTGGTTTCCATACCTCTTTACCCCGCACACCTGTCCTCCATGAATAGCCCACAATGAGTGTGAGCGTCTGACCTTCCTTTGTCCCCAGCTCTAAGCCAACACTATCATAAACATGCCTAATGAGTGTAATTTGCATATTTCCTAGGATAGTTGGGTCTTTATTTGGCCGGCTGGGCTGTGCTATTTTTAGGAGGCCCACTGCACCGAGTGTGAGAGGAATGTGGGGTGATTGGGGAGTCTAGCATGCCTTGCCGTGAATAAGGATATTGTGAGTGTCTGCTGGGGCTTTGTAGGCTGGCCTGCATGTTGTGGGATTGAGTCACATGCTGATGATGTCAGCAGTTCTGACAGTGTTTCTTTACCTCCCCCTTCTCTCTAAAAAAACAAAAACAAACAAAACAAACAAACCCCACAAACCCCAAAACTACTCCCTCTAGATAACCCTCTCATATATTCCCCTTATCTCCCCTCCCTAAACTCTCTCTCCCTCCCCCTCTCTCTCTCCCTCTCCCCCTCTCTCCCCCTCTATTGTACACAGTCTCAGTCAGTACCCAGAGCATGAATAGTAGAAGTTAAATTTTTATTCCCATGAAATGTAGGGTTGGCTTGTTTACGAATAGTCCTCGCATTGATAGTATTTATGGCGGGATGCGTATGCGAGAAGGAAACACAACGAAACCGACAATGAATAGCAGCTGCATGTTAGTCACACTATGTACATGGCCACTTATTAGTGACACTGCAGTCTTGACATGACATAAAGAGAGGATAGAGCTTGTAGTGTAACGAGCATACCACCTCTGGCCAGGAATTAAAGTGCCAAAGAAAACTGAGGTCAAAGTTTAGTTGACTGAAAGAAAACTGAGGTCAGTTGTTCCACTGTGGCCATCAAGTCTGGCTCATTGAGGATAATGTATCTCCAGGGCACGCCCGTTTGGGACGAGGGGTTAATTATCGGCATGCCATTGGGAACGAGACAGTGTCCTTAGTAGGAGACGTGTCTGATCACTCGGAGGCTAGGAGCTCTGGGGTTTGGGTTTGAGAATGCAGTCGTGTCCTCTGTGGTTTATGGGGGGAGTAATTGCTCCATTCACCAGCGGCAGTTCTATTGCTGTGGCCCTGGACCTGGCTGGGTTAATTAGTTTGGGTCAATTAATAGTCAATTTATCGGTTACCTTCAACCCTTCATTACCATGGCAATATCCCTTGGGAGCTGACATAGATGAACACTTTGCATAAAACTGCAGCATCCCCCCCTCTCTCTCCACTAACGTTACACACCCCTCCATTCCCTCGCGTGCAAGATTGGATAGCTTGCTGCATTCGTTGTGTGTTGTCAATTGTCTTTGTATGGAGGAGTAGTTTACCAACTGAGTCATCATTTCTCTGGCTGCTGTTGCTGGTCTGATATGGAGGATGGTGAACACTGCCTTGTGTGAGAGAGAGAGAGAGAGAATGACGGACGTAGAGGGAGGGGTGGGGTCTGGTTAAAGAAAGGTGTCCTGATTGTGGGGTGTCCTGATTGTGGGGTGTCTGATTGGAGAGGTGTTTACCTCTGACTTGCCACTGTATACTGTCTGTCTGTGTGTGTTCTCCATTATCCCGACATGGGGAGTGTTGTGTGTGTTAGCCTCAGTTGAGAAGGAACATACACACTGAATACTCACAAGGAGGGAGGGTAGATAACCATGTCAATACCATTCGGGGACCCTCCTTTATCTGTGGTGGTATATACACCTGTTGCTTTGTAAACCTCCTCTAATATTTCTATAAACCTCATCTACTCTGTTTTACCGTAGTTTGGAGTTACTTAGGATTGTGGGATTGTACACTGTTTTCTGATAATAAGCGTGCTTTTCGCATGCGCTGTGCTAACACATGCCGTAATTCATTATCATGTACCTAACGATGCTATAACCCTTTTGATTACCTTGTTAATACTCGGGAGCTATTTTGGGTCTGTTCTATTTATAGACATGCCTCAATGTGAATATTGAAACGTTTGGAATGAGAAAATATGAGACAATATGAGACGTGTGTCTTGAGATAATCAAATAACTCACATGTATCGCTAGAGAGCTAAATATTTTGTTATTGGATAACTGTTGCAAGATTAAGCCTATTATATTGTCCTTTGGTGGTGCCCATGACTTCTGTACTGCAGTAGGGTTGCGAATGGGGGTAGGGTTACTATTTCCCCCCTCTCTCTCTCTCTTATTGTAACAATACCACCAATACCACCTACTCACTTGCACTCTGCATTCTGACACACACTCTGACACACACACACACACACACACACACACACACACACAGCTGTCTGCAGCATTTTTATAACCTGAAAGTTGTTTTTCTCCTGAAACATGAGCAAATTGACGGCAGTTTCACTTTGGTGAGGAGTTCTGTTAGTGACGGTAGAGGAAGGCTGGCCACAATTCCACTGTTTCCCTCCACCTCTGTGCCAGTGGGGGGAGCATCCTGTGTCGCCGTGTTTTGGTTTGCGGTCTCTTGAACAAACTTGTCAGCTGCACTTTCCCACACCGCAAAGTCGCAACAAAACCTGTCGGTGCTTTGTTTGCTGTTCGGGGCACTCTGCGCTGTGTCCTGGAGACACTCTAGCCATGCCGCCAGGTGTATGTCTGTCACCCATTTTCCTGCCCCCTTGGTAACTGGGAGTGGAGTGGAGATGAAACACAATCAGCAAAGAGCCTTTTTCGTTCCTACCTCTTGTCTTCTCTCTCACTCTATCCCCACCCATGTATACCGAGTGTCTGCGACAAATTTCCATCTCTTGAGAGTGAGTTGGACTGTCTCCTCACCCACTGAGATCCAAGCAGCTGCTGAGTTCAGTGCTGTCCCGCCCACTCACTGAACAGCTGTGTTTGATCCCAGGCCACAATGGACCCATTAAGCCATTAGGGGGCATGAATGGCCTGTACACTTATGTGTGTGTAATGTGGTCTGTACTGGGCGGTAGAGTGGCAAATTATCAGTGTACCAAAGAGTTAGCTACATCTGTAGTTCAGAACTTTTACGAGAAATTCTACCTTGTAAGCATTGTGTTGTTCTTTCCTCTCTTCCTCTGTCTTCCTCTGGCCCTGCAGGAAGTCCGCCATCAAAAGTGTATGGACAGATGAGGGCGCTGACAAACAGGGCTTCTGAGAGGTTCTAACTTCTACACCACCACAGAGCCAGCTGCCTGAACCCCCTGTGATCCATTCCCAGCGTATAACTATTATAATATCAGCAGTGTATATGTACTGTATGTACAGGTATTCTAAATGAACGTGTAACCAATCAAGAAGGGCTTTCAAACACAGTGTATGTAAGTCAGTTTGTATTGGCTGGTTCACTCATTAGAGTTTCAATAAACTTGATTGTCAGAGAATTAAAAATGACAGCAAATGATGAGCAGTGTTAGGTAGGTGCACTGAGTGAGTGAGAGATAAATAACCTGTGACTGAGGGTGCACCATTTTTTGCTAGTGGTGAAGAGAAAATGAATGATTACACACACACACACACACCGCTGAAACACACAAACACACACAAAATTAATGGTGAAACGAAAAATTCAGACAGGTTATACAGGTGAGGATGGGTTCAAGTATGCTTATACAACCTGTCCAGATGATGATACTGGGGGTGAGGGGAAGTGGCGGACTGATTAGTGCATTGATCAGGAGTGAAAACGGTGCCAGGTGTGACGGGGTGCAGTGTTGTGCCGCTGGTGGTTAGAGATTCCAGTTACAAACCTATCTTTCAACCTGGCGGCAGCTATAGTGCCTGCGGCCACGACCATCTTGTCATTTCTAGTTCAGGGAGAGTCGGCGTGTTGGCCTCCGAGGTGACGTCCAGCGGGTAGATGGACGCGGAGTAAGCGACAGAGACGGGGCAGCTCGTCTTTCTCGACACGAGTCCCTGGAGCGGGTTACACAGTACTGGCGAGCTCTTTACTTTCTTGGCGTGCTTCTTTGTCTTGGCCTTCCTTGAGGGTGCCGGGGATACGAGGACGGCTGCCGGTGGAGGTTCCAACAACTGAGGATAGCCTCCGTTTCCCGCGTCCACGATGTCGCCTTCCTCGTCAACCTGCAGCCGCTCGCTGGTCGCTGAGGGAGTCATCTCTGTCAGAATGGCCTCCAATGTGGCGCTCATTCGGTCGTCTTCCTCGTCCGTGGGTACGTCGTCTGCGACGGTGGGGGCTCGGCGGGACTCAGCGCGCAGAGAGCGGTACCACTCGTCCGCCACGGACGACGTGGACAGCTTTATGGTGTAGGAGCAGCGGCCGCGGCAACCTCGGGAGATTAGCTCCACCGTCCCTGCCTCCTGTCCCCGCCGAACACAGCAGCTCCGTAGCCACAGCATCCCCTTGGGCTCGTCTTGTTTCTTCCCCCACACCATGAAGCTCTCGGACGGGTTCACGTACAGGGAGAGCTGGCAGAGCAGGGACTTTCTCTTGGGGGAGCCCTTGGCGCCCGAGCCGCCACCGCAGCAGAACGAGCAGCTCGGGTAGGTGAGCGACACTTGCGAGCTCTTTAGTTTGGTGCTCATGAGTATGGACGAGAACACGTTCTGTCTGAGCTCCTCTGAACCCATTCTGTTCCAGTCTATCTAGTCTACCGTCGGACCGTTCAGAACTAGCTACTACAACACTAAAGTATAGTTCTTCCCCGGAGCGACGCTCGTCCGGTCGTTTTATACGGTGTCATATGGGCCGATATAATGGCGCGGTATAAACATCGCGTTACGTATAACGTACTTTGCGTGGGCGGGCGCGGTGAATACGGTGCGCGCGCTGCTGTGACTGCTGATCTAGAGAATTATTATCCAGGATATTTACAGAACACACAATAAAACACTAATTTCTACTTTTTCTTTCTCCTTGATTTCTTCTGTTTGAGCCCTCCGATTAGCTCTGCCTTCCAGACTGATTCAGGTACGGTGTGGGCCCACGAAGGAGTGACAGAACTGGGCAGAGAGAATCCAACCATCGCCTGCTTTATCGCAGCTGCTTTCTCTGGTATTGAGAAACAGAGAGGCATAATAAAGTTGAAAAGGGGATAAAGAGTTTGCACATTTCTTGGTATGAGGATTGCGAATGTTGGCAGGCAAATGTACAGTGGGACGTGCAGTGATTTGTGAAAAGTATTTTCTCAGCAAAACTCTGATTTTCTGCCGGTTGCTCGTTTATGTACATAGCTTTTGGTGTACTGTATATACTGTGTGCACCTTTCTCCATGGAAGTTGATGGTTCAACAGTGCCAGTGGCCTCGGCAGAACCAGCTCTGGTTGTCTGAGGCCAATCTTCACTGTCAGTGGAGGGAGCCACCTCGCTGAACCTGGCCCAACTCTCACTCTCACAACCACTTCTTCGCCCGTCTTTTCCTCCTCCTCTTTCTTCTCTCGGGCTTTCACTGCTGCCTTGTTTGTCGTCAGATACAGCCAAGTCTCTGACTTGTCTCTCCATCCATCTTGTCAGTCTGGGAGACCCTCCCAAACCTGGTTCTGAACCATCTCCTAGTGACTGCAGCTCTACCGGTTCACATGGGTTTGAAGAATCTTCTCCCCACGTGCGTCCAGTCACCACTCCATCGTCTTCGTCAACCTCGTCACCATTCATTACCTCAGGGTCCTGGGGGAGGAGCATGTACCCCGAGTCTGTTCTCACCTCTCCTCCCTCCTCCTCGTCTTCCTCGCTGGAGAGAGACGACGATTCTTCTCGGCCATTGGCGCCTCTCCAATCCTCTCCCTCGGTTCCTCCGGCGATCGACGCGTATCTCGACGCGTTGGTTTCTCCGTTAGCAAGCTGGAGGTCCCTAGGGCTCTGTACAGAGACCACCTCACCGCAGAGCCCCGTCTCTTCTCCTCCATCGCACCCCAGCTCTCTGTTCATCGCAGCAAAAGGACCCGGCCCCCTCCCAAACGAACCTTGACCTTTACACACTTTCCCGTGGACTCCCGTATTCTACCGTATACTCCACACCCCATGTGATAAAGCTAGGGACGCTGTACTGCAAAAATGAGCGGACGATTCGTGGCTGTGTGTGCCCTGGGGCTCGCAGGGTCCCTCTTCCTCGGCTACTGCGTCTACTTCGACCGGAACAGGCGCATGGACCCCGACTACAAGAAGAAAGTCCTCGCACGTGAGCCACATTGCATTACAGTAGTGTGGGGGTTAGACGATATGCCAGCTGTGTTTCAAAATATGTCATTCAAATGTAGGGAGAAGGAGAGCGAAGGCGCAGGGTAAAATTATTGACCTCCGCGACCCCAGAGTGCGGGAGGAATTCCTCATTGCAGAGATGACAGCTGCCAACCAGAAGATGATGGAAGGTACGGCCGTTCCTCTCTTCCGCCCTCAAAACACGACTCCCATCCACAGGGAACATTGAGGAGACCATTGGCCACCTCCTGAACTTTGTCAAGTTCTCAGGGAACCCGAGAGCCACACTACTGACTCTCCAGCAGACCCTCCCTCTCCCCATATTCAACCTCTTAGTGAGAGCCGTGGCCGCCACCTCCATTGGTCCCAGCTCCGGCCCTTCTGCTGGCACTCAGGTAGATGTCAACTTTGTTGTCCGTCATCCTGATCCCCTCTTCCCTTCCTTCGATCAAACAATTTGTCTTTTCCTCAATCTCACTCTAATCTTTATACTTTTGTTCCTAGTTATTTCTTTTAGCTATTCTTCCCCCATGACAAAATGCTAGCTGACCCATTTTTAACCTCCCTCCAACTCTCCCTTGTCTCAGGGTCAGGGAAGGTCTGGAGAACCGACAGCTGCTGCTGTTGAAGTAGACTAAAACAGTAGCCGACCTTTCACCTTCACCCATTCATTGCCACGGCAACCACAATGTCTACTTTGTCTACATTTCAGTGCATTCACATTCGTGAATGAAAAAATATGTCTGAATTAGAGAAAAATTCACCTAATGAACAAGAGCTACTCAACCACACACTGGCTGTAGAGGGTGTGGCTAGATAGGTAGCCACACCCACTGGTTGGAGGGGGTGTGGCTTCAAGGAGTGTGTTTAGTAGCCAGTCCAGCGATGTATGTATCCGGCGAGACCTTTGTGAGTGGAAGGAGAGGGGAGGCTGGTACTGGCATCTGGGAGGGGGGCTGGTGTACCTGTGTGTTTGAGGACAGCTAGTAGCTCATGCAGCAGAACTTGATGGTGTGTATTTATAACAAGCACACACCCAAATCTTTCCATTTTCCCCACGGGTCTTGAAATCACAGAAAATATGCAGGCATGGATACTAGCTCAAATTGTTGACCCACTTTGACTTGCGGGGTTTGTGCACCGTTCACAAAACCAACACTACTGACCCACAAATATGGTAGTTTCTGGTGGCACCTATCACCAGTACTTAGTACATAAGAATGAACAAGGTAAGATGAATGTACCTTCGATGGTGTCCTGAAGGAACTTGGTCTCCTGAGGACTGAGTCTGAGTAGTTGGGTGATGACAGGGACGAGTGCTGTCTGCTCTCCACCATCCTCTGTGTGCAGGAACTGGGGAGGGGGAGAGAGGGGAGGGAGGGGAGGGTGTTTGGGGGGACAACTACACACGTTCTCTCACCTTCAAGACAACGTTCTTGAGGTACTCCATGTTGCTGACTCCCTCTTCCCTCTCCCTGTTCCTCTCCAGCCTCCGAATCTCCTCTTTGAGCAGCTTTGCCTGCTCCCCCAGTTGAACTCCCGCCTCCTCACTCTCTCTCAACAGCTCTGTGACATCTCTGATGGTCTTCTTGGCCTTTGCCAGTTCTCGTCGCAGCTGCTGGGGCTGTTCCCCAGCGGAGGAGGGCTTGGCACGAGGAACGGGAACTTCCGAGTCTACCACGCTCAGCAGTCTTTCGAAACTCAGCTGTGAGTCCTCCCGCGAGAACTGAGAGAGGTGTGTTTGTGTGTGTATTTTTAACCATTTTAGCTGAATGCTGTACAGTGAAGGTTCCATTTCTGCTCAACACGTTCACATATTAAAGAAAGGGTGTTTACCAAAATTAAAGTAAGAATGGTAGTGCAGTGAAGTTAAGAATGTCGAATATAGAGACAATGGTGTTCAAAAGCAGCCACTTACTGGGGTAGGAGGGAAGGATTCTAGCTCGGACTCATCCATACCCTGGACAGGGAGAAAGATAGACATTTACTCGCAACACCACACCATATGGGGTAGTGGTCGGACTGGCTTACCTCTCCCGCCACTCTCTGCTCGTTGGTGACAGTTGCTGAGTCAGCATTCCTCGTCTCCTGGGAGACTAACGTCTGTGGGTGGGCGGGGCCTGACGATGAATGGTTGACAGCTCGAGCAAGAACCTTGGCATCAGCTTCCTGTGCAGAGAGAGAGAGAGAGAGAGTGTGTGTGTAAGATGTGATTCTTCTGATGCAGACTCTAGCCAAGTAAAGTTATCACTCTGTGTCTTTCTTCTTTCTTCCAACTTGACAAGCAAATAGACTAACACCACCATCATTTCCTACCAACTTTGTGAATAATATAATATCCCCAAGAGGTTCCCACATGACAGGTTCCCACATGACACTGTAAAGGTTTCTAGACACATTCCTTGGCAAGGTTGTCTAGACAGTGGTAGGATCTGACCTGCTGAAGCCTAGTCAGAGAGGTCTTGGCAGCCTCCAGTTCACCCCTGAGGGATACGACAACCTTCTGCTGCTCCTCCTGAAGAGATTGAAGCTGGCCCCTGAAGGTATCCGTGACCTCTACGACCTCTTGTCGCAGCTGCTGAATGACCTCCGCTTGCTCTCGGCTCTCCCGACCGTGGCGAGACTCCGCCTCCTCCAGTCTGCAGGAATGACATCATCATTAATTCACATACTGTCCATATCATAAGGGAGATGCTGCGAAACTGCCTGAATTGTTCTTTTAACCACAAAGGTTCCCTTTCTATGAGATGGATCGGCTAAACCACTCACACACACACACAGTGTGTAATTGACCAGCTACAGGTACAGTATTGACTACTAGGAGACTGACTGTCTGCTGGCAGACGAGAGCTGTGTCTGTGAGGTCTGTAGCAGCTGCTGGTGTGTGGAGGTCAGAGTTCGGTGTTCCTCCGTTACTTCCTCCAGTTCTGCCAGAGCTGACGACAGCTGGGTCCTGGGGGGAAGGAGGTGAAAGCGGCTAGGGGCACCAGACACACAGGGCACAGCAGGCACCGGATTATGTTAACTCAGGATTTTTGGTGTCGTAAGAAATGCATTAGAGCACTCAGCTCTTAATTTATTACTGACTCACTTGCTGTCTTGAAGTTCTACCTTCAACTGGAGTATCTCAGCCTCAAACGTTTGCCTGCAACCAAAAGCAACCAAACAGTACCACTGAAGACCACTGGCGGACCATTGGGGACTACAAGTGACCAAACTGACCGTATTTCCGTGGAAATTTCAGCGGCACTTGGACCACCGCTCTTCTGCTTCAGAACACTATGTACCCTAATCTGCAATAATATACCGCAACAGAGAATACTAAAGAATACTGATAAACTAGTGAGTTTACTGGGAGATTGCTGAGGGTTTACTGAAGATTATTGCTACGATACGACGACAGATTACTAGAGAATACTGACAAACCTGTTAGTTTACTGGGAGATTACTGAGGATTACTGGGCATACCTTGTAGTTGTTGTAGTCCTGCTGGCACTGGGAGAGTGAGATTTGGGAGGTGGTCAACTCACTCTGAGCAGCTGCCAACTTGTGCTCTAGAGAACGAACCGTCTTCTGCAGAACTCCCACAGAGGAGTCCGACTATGAAATAGTTAAGGAGAGGATGGGGGGGGGGAAGGAATTCACCGAGGATCATAGTTATCTGGAACATGTTCTTATATTATCTATACCCTCGAGTAAAAGAACGATTGTTTTGGTTGTAAGTTAGTTTTGTTACCTGCTGTTGCATTGACTGAAGTTTAGCAGTCAGAGATGCCGTCTCAACCTGAGACACAGACAGAGAAGGTGAGGAAGAGAAAGGAGGGCAACGTGTGAACCCACCTTGCTCTGCTCTGCCTCTTGTTTCTCAGTCTCCAGTTGAGCCGCGAGAGAAGCCATGGCCACTTGGAGCTCTCCCTCTGTCTTCCTCGCTGCGTCCAGCTCCTTCTTGGTCTTCATCCAGAGAGACTTGGTCTTGGACAATCTGTCTTCCACTGATATCGCCTGCTGCGTCTTCAGATCTGGCAATATAGTATAACAGAGACCAACTGCAGAGTTGTGTTCTAAGGTATTGATGTACTAAAAAAGGACGCTCTCAATTAAAGCTCAGTGCGCTGCTAAAAGGGTCGCACCACCAGAAATTTGAAAATGTATGTGTCTGTTTGACATAACGGCCGAGTTACTGTACGTAGAAATTAGATAGGCACGACATACATACCAATCTCCTTCCTCATGGAGTCCATCTTGTCCAGCTGCCTCCTCCTCTCCTCCCTGGCCTCCTCCAACTCCCCGTGAGCCGCGGTCAGCTTCTCCTCCAGACTCTGCAGCGACCTCTGGTAGTCCGCCAGCTCAAGGTTCATCACGTTTGTTACCTTAGCCTCCTGCAGTAGTCACAGGGAGGAGAGGAGACCGATTGAGTTGGTTTGTAAGGGGAAAGAGATCATATTGCTGAATGGTGTCACAAGATGCACGTTTCAAAATGTTCCTGAAAGGTTATTGGTTACATCTAATTCTGCGGTTTATGTGGATTTGCCCGTTTTGCAGTGTAGATGAGGAAGATGGAGGGAACGAGGCGACAAGTAAGTGGCTGACTTTGCTTGCCAATAAAGGGGATGAGGAGAGAGTGAAGAGAGTAAAGGGGAATAGAGGGAGGGAGAGAGTTCCCACCTTCACAGCAGCTGCCAGTCTCTGTCTTGTTGACGAGTGACTGTCCTTCTCTCTCGCCAGCTCCTCCCGCAGCGACCCCACCTCTTTCTCTGCCACCTCTGCCACTCGCTGGGCCCCGCCCACCTGGGTCTGGAGCGTCGCCAGGTCGGACTGGGCTGTGGACCACTCGGAACGGAGTACGGACAGCTCCTCGGTGGCGGCAGTCAGATTTGACTGGAGACATTCTCTCTCTGAAGTCACTTCACTCAACTCTACCCTCAAGCTCTGTAGAGAGAGAGAGAGAGAGAGGCAGAGAAACAGTACTACATGTACCTAGTGACTGCTGTACAAGTTTGCTTGTCTGATTATGCTCAAATATTTTGCAAAGCAGGGAAAATTTTGCAGATGGCTCAAATATTACGACTGAAGTGGATTATATATACAGAGCAGAAAATAGTAAGCATTATACCTTTGCAGTCTCCTCGGCAACTCTGACCTTTCCCTCTTTTTCTGCAGCACTGAGATCACATGATTGATCACATGATCAAGAAAACGACACAAGGAAATTGAACTCTGACCTCTGTTGCCCCGCCCCCACAGCCTCCCTCAATGCATTCAGCTGTCTCTGAAGCTCCACCCTCTCTGTCTCGGAGGAGGCGGAGTCAGTGGCCACCTTGTCCCGAGTCTCTGCTAGCTCCTTCTTCATCTTCACGATGTACGCCTTCAGTTTCTTGGTCTCATCTCTATGGCTCTCAGTCCGATCGTCTGCAACCATCACATAACAACAACTGTAACTCTACTTTTCGTTTGGCAAAGTGACCTACAAGCACGACTGACGCTAAAACCAAAGTATTTCACTTTCAGACCTTCTTTTTAGGCTCTTGTTGCCCAAAGTTTGTGCACCTTGTGTTGTGTGGATATGTGACGGTGTGTGTGTGCAATTGTGGCCAGAAACTTGGAGTTGTGGCAACAGAAACCACACTCTAGGACTCACTCAGACTCCGCTGAGAAGACGACTGCTCTCTCCTGACTGCCTCATCAAGCTGCCTGGCCTTCTCCTGGCTCTCCGTCTGGAGTCTCTCCACCTCTGATTTCAGCTGGGACACCTCTCTCCCTCTCCCTCTCCTCCCTCTCTTTGTCTCAGTCTCTCCACCTCTGATTTCAGCTGGGACACCTCTCTCTCCCTCTCCTCCCTCTCTTTGTCCTCCTCCCTCTCCTTCTCTCTCACCTCTGATTTCAGCTGGGACCCTCTCTTCTCCCTCTCCTCCCTCTCTTTGTCCTCCTCCCTCTCTTGTTTCAGTCTCTCCACCTCTGATTTCAGCTGGGACACCTCTCTCTCCCTCTCCTCCCTCTCTTTGTCCTCCTCCCTCTCTTGTTTCAGTGTCTCTACCTCTGATTTCAGCTGGGACCCTCTCTTTCCTCCTCCCTCTCTTTGTCCTCCTCCCTCTCCTTCTCCTCCTCCCTCTCTTTGTCCTCCTCCTCTCCTCTCTCCCTCCTCCTCCCTCTCTTTGTCCTCCTCCCTCTCTTGTTTCAGTCTCTACCTCTGATTTCAGCTGGGACACCTCTCTCTCCCTCTCCTCCCTCTCTTTGTCCTCCTTCTCCTTCTCCTCCTCCCTTTCTTGCTTCAGTCTCTCCAGCTCCTCTCTTGCCCTCTCCTCGTCCTCACCTCCTCCTCAGCCCCGGTCTGCAAAACACTCCGTTCCTTCTCAAACTCCTCTATTCTCACACTACTCTCCATCAACCTCCTTTCCAAATCTCCCGCCTCCCTCCCCCTCTCCTCCAACTGGCCTCGCAGTGACTCCAGTTGAGAACCGAGAGTCTCTCTCTCGCTCTCCATAGCCTCAGCTGCCCTCTGCAGCTCGTCCTTCTCTCCCACGACAGTCTCCAGTCTATACTCCAGACTTCCAATCTTTCGTTCCAGTTCTGCCACCAGACTTGCTGCAGCTTCAGTCTCCCTTTCTTCTCGCCCCCTCTCCGTCTCTTCTCCCCCTCTCTCTTCCTCCTCTCTCACCGATATTTCTGTTCTCAGTTGATTTAACTCCATTTCCAGTCCCTCCTTCTCATTTTTCTCCCTCTTTACTTCCTCCCTGGCCTCACAGGCCTCCTCCTTCACCCTCTCCACCTCTTTCTTTGAACTCTCCAGACCCTCTTTCAGGACTTCAATCTGTCTCTCAAGCTCACCAATCCTTTCCTCCTCCTCCCTCTCTTTCTCCTCCTCCCTCTCCCTCTTCTCCCTCTCCTCCTCATCTCTCTGTTTTTCAGCAAGCCTGGCCGCCCTCTCTGTCTCTGCCAGCTGAGCCACAAGGGTCTTTGTCTTCTCCTCGTGTTCCTGCTGCTGAGCTGACAGTTGCGTGCCTGCCTCCTCGACTCTACATCTCCAGTCTTCTTCTGACGACTGCAGTCGCTTCACCGTCTTCTCCAGCAATAGTTTATCCTCGTTCAGCGCCTGAGGAGAAAGAGAGAAGGGTGCGTGTGTGTTGACTGTTGGCCTTTCCCCATTGCTCCAGTTCTCATCGTTCGTCTTTTCCCTT